AAAAATCCCGCGAAAAGGATCTGGACTTTAACTCGGTCCAGTCCCCACACTCTCGAAGTCCAAAATGGCGGGCCAGCTAACTTGATGTAATAAGATCGCCACTTTAATAACAATTGCATCATCTCAGTGCAAGGCTTTGGTTGAGTTGTTTTCTTTATAAAAGCAAAAAAGCTTTTTGTTATCCGACTCTCCTAACTGTGGATGGATGGTTTCATTTTTTTAGCTCACGGGAAATCACAGTTCACCTCGATAATGCTCACTGAAGCTCGTATTATGTTTGTATAGTCTACGTACAAGGTTATGCTCCTTTGCTGATGGGTATTTACGACAACTATTCAGGCTATTACAAGGTCAGACGTAGATTATATGTTAACGGAACTTTTGATAAGCTAAATTTATCTGGTAAAAACATAAAAAAATGGGCCTGACAAAATATGGAGACTTTCTATGCTTGGAGTAATGCTTAGAAATAGGACGTAAAACTGAATGTAAATCAAAGAAAAATTAAGGCATCTTGTAAAAAGATCGTTATATCTACGTCAGAACATCATCATTTGCGTTCTATGGTGGTTACTAGGTTTTCAAAGAATAAAATCACCTTTGTTTTACAACATCATGTGCTTTTTGTGCTAATCAGAGGCCTGTTTTTGACCAATTTAAAGGTAAGAATGGGTGTATTTCTAAACAACGAAACTGATTTGGCTTTGACAATTCATTTTCACTTACCAAATACATAATAAGGGCTTCTTGTCAACAATTTGGTTTGTTTATGGCCTGAATTATGCTCAAAATTCCATTTTGCATCGCCTTAGAGGAACATGAAGTGTTTGTTCCAAATATTCAATAAACCATAATAAGCCAAATTGTTCTCAACTGATTTTGATAATTGGGTGACTAAAGTAAACAGTGGTATAGGTATGGAAGTCATGCAAGAAGGCAGGTGAATATAGTGGAATTTTGAAAAATGGCTATTTTGGGTTGTAATTTTAACATCAATTTTGACCAAACTCTAGCCCCAGGCTCCTCTCTGTGTAATAACTTGAGGACAAAGTTACATGCATGAACTGAAAGCTCTATTATATTAGAGTTCATGGTCAAATTCATTTGGCAGTACAATTTACCAGTGGGGTCTTAACACACTTTCAAAATGCCCCCTGGAAGGCTGGAGTTTTGGTGCTAAAAGGGCAAAAAATGAGACCCCCCAGTAACTCCAAAGCTAAAAGTCAGCGAAGTGAGCCAAAGAGGCTTTTGAAAAATCTCATCACACCCAACTTCTGTGCCAAGTTTCAGCCAAATCGGTTGACCACAACTTTTGGCCCCTGGAACGCTTTCTCAGACAATGACACTTAAACAATTTTGTGCAAATTTGAGACGTTCTTAAGGGTTAAAGAGCTAAATCATCTGTGATTCCCAAAGGTGTAATACAGTCGACTCCCGATAACTCGAACTTTCAAGGGAAATCGAAAAAAGTTCGAGTTATCTGGAGCTCGAAGAAAATAGCCCGGAGTAAGGAAAAAAGACAGTTTTTACTGCACAGTGAACATTTTAGTCACAGTTAATTGTAGAATTGTTAAGTGAAAATTGAAAGACACCTCTAGATGATAAATCAGAACGTAAGGTAACAAAATGTTGCCTAAATAGAGCATGTGGTTTACTGTTTTGAGAAGTAAAGCTGTTTCACGTTAGAGTTGTGACAAACAACAGCAGCCTCGACTAGTAGACTATATGCCTACAACACGTCAATGGGAAATTCAAAATTCAATGTTTCGGTCGCCAGTAGACAGTTTTTTCCCCACTTTTTAAGGGACTAAAACATGTTCGAGTTATCGAGGGTAAAATTATATAGATATGATCTGAAGGGAAACAGAAACTACTTCGAGTTTAATAGCGGGAGGTTCGAGTTATCGAGGGTTCGAGTTACCGAGGGTAAAATTACTGTAAATGTATGACGGAAATCCAGGGGAAATCGATTTTGGTTCGAGTTAGCGCGAGGTTCGAGTTAGCGAGGGTTCGAGTTATCGGGAGTCTACTGTATACGAAATCATAAACTCATATGGTGTGCTTTAGTTATGCCTTGAGAATTTGTATATCTTTTTTTTCATAGGTTAATCCCTGAAGACTGCTATGGTTTTAAGTAGAGAGCGGCTTATGTTTCGAGATGAACATTAAATTGAGAAAAAAAATGTATCTCCAAAGTGCAAAATATGTCGAAAGCCGAGGTTAATCAGTGCAATATGTGTTTTGCAGATGTTCCAGGCTTGCTAAAGTGAAAGAGAAAAAAGAGGCATCACACTCCTTCCTAGGAAATAAACTATTAGAGACCTTAAGATTCCAGGACGAGAGCGACTACGAGTACAAGAGTTGTTTCAAGCATTGTCAAATAGTAGAACATCCTGGAATGCTCAGTTGTACTTTTCGTCACCAGAGAAGCTAGCACTGTTATCTTTATTGGAGAATGATAAACCTTTTGACATTTGATGACTTGTTTCCACCACTACGTCTGAACTCGTAGAATATCAGGTCTTCCTGCCAAAATGAAGCTGGGTCACGCTCGAGCGCAACTTAGTATTGAGAAAATCTGGTACTTTTAGTCATTCTCGTCTTAGAATTTAAAGGTCTCTATTAAGGTGGCTGAACACAGTTTGGTAAGTTGTGGATTATTAACATTTATTGGGGTGTTATTTAAGACTCGTTGCAGGTACCAAGCTCAAATTTGGCACATAACAGAGAACTTTATTTATAAGACGTGACATTCATTGGGCTAAAAGTGAGATTTGGAGCGATGGATGATTAAAAACAACCCTAAAAGTTTGATTTTTTTAGGTTTACGCAAAATCCAGTGATTAGATTTTCTCATAAATTTTCACACAGCTGACAACTAGTAACCCTCATAGACTCCTCATTTTTTAGAAACCAGTTAACCAAATTGTAACAAACAGTTTTTGAAATTTTAAGAAAAGAACTTTCACCGAAACCTTGATTGTGTGATATGAACAGGATTTCTGCCAAATTTCGTAAAATTTCTAACGAATAGAGTTTAAGACATTGCTTTTTCTTTACATTGCTTATGAAAATCAACAAAAAAGCGGTCTCACATTGCTTCCTAAGCACACATGCTCAGCACTTGTGCGCTCTATGGTCCACCTATCATGCCAAAGGCGACAAAAAAATGATAAGGCTTATTAGCTTGTTCTCGCACTTTTTTCTTTAAAAGCTTATTGGATGCATACCTTCTCATCATAAAGATGTTAAAATGCATATTCTAGAGAAACACGAGCGACTTGCAACAGCAACATATTCATGTGCAGCACACACAAAGTTTATGTAGTGATACACCTCGATGGCAAATCGACATAGCCCCCCCCGATTGATTAAATTCTGGCTTCATACAGTTAAATGGTAATTTAACTTTGCCTTATGCGAAAAAAACAACAACAAATTCTCACCTTTGCCAGCACTCTAATTCCTTTCTGTCCCATGCCAATATAGGGATACAGTTTCTCTCTTCCAGTGTACTTCATCGATATATTGTTCTGATCGATCTGTCTTCCATTTAAGTAAAAAACGATGGGAACTTTTCCATTCTCTGCCAAATCAAACTTGACTGTACAGCTTATCAAGTCCCCCCTGTACGCCATAGCATCTGCAAAGAAATTTCGACAGTTTATTGTAGTTAATTACATAAGAGCTATGTTTATTGAAGTATTAAAGTATTGAAGTATTTAAACTTAAAAGACAAGGTAAATCCGTCTTCAAAAAATAACTTTCAAAATACTTCACAACACAATGTCTAGTGACATTCATAATGCAGGCACGAGAAACGCAAAGCACAATTTGATGCTACCAAAGGTTAGGACTAGTATGGCCAAAAATGCTTTCAGGTTTGCAGTAGCTAGGAGCTGGAACGAACTCCTGAAAAGACATCAAAGAGGACCAGTCGATGAATACATTTTCGCGGAAACGTAAAACGTACCTTTCATGACCATAATATTTGTAACTATTTTTTGTAAGTAGGACTTTCTTGATTTTGTATATTTATTCACTACTTAATGTTTGTTTCATTTCCATGCTTAATTTTTGGTTGAGGACCACGCGTATGTATCGGTGGATATCAAGTGAAACCCTCATTACAAAACGTATCTATCTAAAAAACTTATCTGTCTATCTATCTAAAAGCATAGGCTTACTATTCTCTGTTTGTGCTGAGGGGTGTTCTTTAGTGTCACAGCCGATATTCAATGTTATTTTTAGAACGGAACTCAGTTTCATCAGAGCGTTATTGTAGAAATTCTGCACTACTCAGCATGTCTAAATTTTAACTCTTTTGTATCTTTCTGAAACTCAGCAGCTGAAATAAGTGTATTAGTCAAATGCAAAATAGCAGGCAGTGACATGTGTACAAATATTGGAACACCTGACATGTAAATTCAATAGAACACGAGTACTTCTGTACGTGTCTCTTTGTTAAACAAGAACTATTATATTTAACATTTCAGAGGAACAACTGTTGCGCTCAATTCATTCAGGTTGATCTACAACATGTGTTTTTTCTAAAGATTCAGGAACCGAAATAGAAAGTATTTCACCATAAAGGAAAAGGCTTCTAACCAATCGAATTGTAACGCGTAGACCAGCTAGCACGTGTATTTTGAACAGGTTTTTGTGTTTCTTTGTGATAATCGAACACCTGTGTTTACTATAGACTGTATAAAAGTGGTGCTTAAACTGTTGTAAATCGATTACCTGCGAGATTTACCAACAAGCTTATTCAGTGTGAAGTACTATCTACTAGGTTTACTCTACTCTAAAGTTGCAACATTACAGAGAAGTCTCAGTTCTTGTCCACCCTTTCGTACCGTGGGACATGGAGTAGCAACGAGTGCCGGCAGCGAGCCAGTCGCTCTACCAAATTGCAGTTTTCCCAGTCAATAACTTCCATTAGCAGATCACTATTTGCTAATTCTCGCACCCTCGGAAGAGCTTTAGTTCCGTTGTTCTCCGAGTTCGACTTTCCCGCCAATTTGGTTTGACAGGCCGAAAGCCGCTTGACGCAGTGAATTTTCCTCTAGTTGCATTAGATATAGACCCTTTGGCTTTCTTAAGGGGATTGATTACGAATTAAACCGCTAAGAAACTTTAAATCACAGGTGAATTCCTTTGCCGAAAATCTGTCGCGAGCAACCTTCTTCCTGACCTCACTGAAGCAGTATGTCCAGCCCTCGTTGGTTTTCCAACCGCTTGTGAACCAAACCTAAACTGTGGAGAGGAATTTAACAAACCCTACAACATCCCTGAGTTAGCCATACCCTCTCTGGTCAAGCCATAGGAGACATACCCTCACTAAAAGCTTGCACTCAAATTCACAGATTTCCTGATTGCCTTATAATAGAATTAGAAAATGTCAGGCCCAGAACAATATTGCAGTAGACACTTCAGTACCCTCCTTTTTCCACTCCCAACAACGCGTATTGCTGAGCCCGTGTGAAGATATAAAACAGGGGCAAGGTAGCACGGTGTAGAAGGTATAATTGTTAAGTCAAGAAACGAGGCGAACCCATTTCATGGATCAACAGCTTGGTGTACAGCAGAAAACCGAGTGACAAGCTGAGAGATTTGACCCAAAGGACCCTAACAAGACTTTCCCAAGAGATCATCACTTGACTCTAACTCTGCACGATTATCTCCAAGTCTGCCAGATGTCCATGCCGAATGCAGATTTTGAAATGCCGAGTTAGATGAAGAGCCGAGCTGCATAACCATCTTCAACTCACCATTTGGTATTTACTGATTCTTTCGGATGCCCTTTGGTTTTAAAATGTCATAGATTGTGTTTCAAGCTAAAATTGACCAGACCTACGAAGGCTGGAAAGGTATGATAAGGCCTGTTCGATGATACTGTTGTCTACGGCAGCTCAAAAGAAGAAAATCTACATGCGCGAAATGATAATAATTAGTTTCATCAAGAGAAAGCACGATTAGCTTTTGCTGCTCAATCTGGTGCAGCCGGACTGTGATTAAGATTAAGCCCTTCAGAAGATGACACCTCTTACCAATACATAGAAGCTGCAAACATTCCTCGGGTTAGCTACGTAAAAGGCGCGTTTATCTCCAGTCTTGGTGCCTTGAAAGCCTTACTAAGGGAGTTGGTTAAAGAAACAATTGTTTTGAAATAGACATCATCAAATCAACGATGTTTCGATGCTTGCAATTAGAAATGCCATAAAGCTGGCTTACTATGATCCAGCCAAAAAAATCATCCTCCGGGTGGATGCCTCGACAAAGGGTTACGGAGCGTCTCTACTGCAACTCAAGACGTCAATTGTGTTTCGTAGCAAACGGCCTTAGCCGACGCAGAGTCGCAGTATACTAACTTGAAGAGGGAAATCTTTGCTGTGGTGCGTGGCATAGGCTCTTTTCATACCTGTTATCGCCCGCTAGCCGGCCACCATACGAACCCAAGGGAGCGATAACCGATAACGTCTAACTGCGCATGCAAAACAAGTAACGAGTACTCTCGTTCCCAGATCCCGTCATTTCTTTTGGTCACTTGGTCTTGACTCTCGTCCATTACAAATTACGCCAAGTGGCTCTGGCGACGAGAATGACTTAAAGTGGCACTAGGATGGAAGCGGGCAAGTCAATATAGGCACAGGAAGTCTAATCAGTAAACCTGTCACCACGAGAAGTAAGAGAGTAGACAAAGGACTATTAAAAAGGAAAATATTAAAAAACTAATGGCGTCTATTGAAAGGCTTTTCAATAAAATTCTGTCCGCACACTGGAACAATATACAAGTCTCCCCTTAGTGAACCTCTACATGATATACTTTCACTGCGTCGCTATTCATGGAATAATGAATTAAACACTTGCCTTCACATTGTACTCCTTTTTTAGGGTTTCCATCAAATATTCGTCCATCATCAATGTGATATCCCACGGTTCCCTTGAACCAACCCGGCATGGCATGATTTCCATACCTCCTTTCAACAACACCCACTCCTAGAAGTCGTCTATTTCCTGTTTCTTGAATAAGAACCTAATGAAAGAAAAAAGGAACCAATTATTATTATTATCTCGCAGTATAAAAGTTTGGAATGCTGTCCACATTATGAGTAGTATAGGGCGCATAACGTAACCTACACCACTTACTCTACTTAGAAGTAGAAAAAGTTCGGTACGAAACTTAAGGCAATCCTAAATACATAATGATATGAATCTATCTACTTAAAAAGCCAATTTAGAATATTAGTAAATTCTTATACCTTGTAAAACCTACGCTAAGGTATGATGATATAATTATCTCTACTAGAAGCCTATTTAGAAAATTATTCAGTTTTTACTCTCATTTTCTCTTATAAACCTACACGAGGCCACCATAATGTGGTTATCTCTACTAAAAGCCTATTTAGAATAATATCAAACAGATGACCGACTTCTGCATCCTCTCAAGTATGCCCCGTGCTCTCTCTTCTAGTAGCTTCCTCACCGACTTCTCTAGGTGTTTTTATAGTAACCACCCAGTACTTCAATTATTACGTTGTACTGTTCAACCCTTTAACCATTGTATCTCTGCTTCTGCTCCCACATCATGGGCCTATACTTAAGTGTCTTTTCCTCATCTTTCTTGGCTCTACTCTCAGTCCTTGCGCAGCTCAATTCAAATGTGCAGACTTCTTTCCTCTCATGGCTGACAAGTCGCGCGTTGATCCAATTTGCTCTAACTTCCTTGTGCTCTGAATAGATGGGAATATCCCAAAACGCCTTACTTGTGGTGTTCTGGTTGGCTGGTTTTGGCATCACCGGTGAGTACCATGGTTGAACCTCTTCTATCAACCCATGCTTTCGCAGGAGCTCAAAAAACGGAATCTTCAAAGCTGCATTACCCCTGTATAGGTACTTGGTTTGTGCCAGAGAGGAACATCCAGCCAGTACATGTGCTACGCTCTCAGCTACCTTCCCACATAACCTGCATAGGACTTCGCCGTCGGTGGAGGTTTGCGTCTTCTCCTTTGTGTACAGCTTCGTAGGTAACAACTGCTCATACAGTTCATACATGCCCGCGATGGTTTACGTAAGGCATGTAGCCCAACCTTTTAACCAAGCAAAGCAGCTGGTTATGCTTAGGCTCTCATCTTCCAATCTGATACGGAATAACTTTGCTTGCCTCTTTTTGTCTTTAGCGCTCCATTAATAACTTAATCGCTTCGTTGATCTCTTCCAAGTCTTTTGTTGATGGTGTTTCTTTTGTCCTGGTGTCAATGTCACGTTGGGAATGGTCTCCAGGGTGGTTTCTAGTTGCTTCCATTATCCTGTTTGCTGGCTCTAAAAAGCTACACCTTTCTTGATCACCGTTGTTAAGCTGTTGTTCTTGGGTCAAGGTTGTATACAAATCCGGTTGTGAGAAAAGATCACCATTGTCACGCTGTTGATTTTGGGTCAGGGTTGTATACAAATTCGGTTCTTCTTTGATCAGCATTTTTTGCTATTTGGCGTCCGTTGTTTAAAGCCCCTTCTGCTGCATCTCCACCTCTGTGCGCTTTTATTCCGTCAGTGATAGTTCTAGTTACGCTGCCTAAAGATTTTTCAAGTCGAGCGGCTTGGTCTCGTAAATTCTGCTTCGTGAACCCCAGATCTTCGTGTCCCATTTGATCCCATAGTTCTTTCGTAAGTTTCATATACCCCTTTCTTCTTCCATTATCCTTGACTGGCGGATTCTCCGATTTTGCGAGTAATAGCGCTTGCTGCTTGCACTCCAACAGGTTATTATTATTATTATTATTATTATTATTATTATTACATATGATATTATTATTATAAATTATATATATTATATCTAACCCATTTTTTGAAAACCAACCTAACGAAATTTGCAGTTATTTGAGTGAAAAGGCGTCAAAAGGCAGGTTTCTTAAGCCCGAGAAGCTCCAAATCCACAGCAACGAAGGAAAAGGAAAGGAGAAAAAGAAAGAGCGAGGAGAAGGAAAGGAGAAGAGAAGCCAAAAAAAGCAATAGTTGCACTCTTAGGTTTATAATAGCTACTTTGGAGAAAAAAACTTTTGGACGCAAAAGGTCCGTTTGGTGATAACATTGTCAAAAATCCAGCTGCTGTTGTTAAAATGAAGTCAAAAGTGCAGCCTGGTTGCAGGTTATTGAACCGTTGACCGAGAAAACCAGGGGACGAGGTTGGGTTGTTTTAGTAGTTAGTACAAAATGGCGGAACTGTCGCGGAACATTTACTCGTTTCACTACGAAATATTGTCTAAACATAACATAACATAACATAACATAACATAAAACTTTATTTAAACTCGAATTTTAGAGTAGCTAACAAGCTAATATCTTCGAGCTGACACTACATAAAAACTATATAGAAAATATATATATACATTAAATGCAAGGAAAGAAAATATCATTTACAATTCACAATTTTAAGTTTAAGTATGTCAGGCAAAAAGAATCTACATGAAGGTAACATCCTGTATTTTAGTCTTAAAGTCTGCAAAAAAACTGGTACGAAAAAAGTCCGGCAGTGCATTCCACTGCTTAGCTGAAAAGTAAGAAAAGGAGTTAAGACCACAGGTAGTTGTTTTAGGTTTACTTAGTGAAAGAATGTAGTTGCCACGAAGATCATAGGAAGAGGACCGGAGTGAAAACATATTCTTCATATAAGTAGGAAAATGAGTGAAAAACAAACTCTTATATAACAGAATGAGGAAATTTTGAATGCGTTTGTTAAACAAAGAAGTAGAGCTGACTTTTGAGAGAAGAGTGTTGTATGGAGACGAGTAATCTCAAGTATAAATCTAAGTATTCTTTTATTTAAAGCTTCGAGCTTATCCGCATCGCGCGCTCCACAAAAGTGCCAGACAGAGGAGCAATAATAAAAGTGAGGTAAAATATACGCTTTGTAAAGTTTGAATAAGATTTCCTTGCGTATGAGTTTTCTAAAGCGCAACATAACATTAAATTGATTATTAATCTTTTTGCATACATTTGATATATGTTTAGAAAAATTCAGATTATTATCTATTTCCATTCCAAAAATCTCTAACGTGTCCTTTACTGGGAAGGAAAAACCATACTCCGTATCACCGAGGATTAGACACTGGTGCTTGCTCTCATTAACTAACATCCCATTTTCATGGTACCACTGATTGGCCACGCCAACATCATGAGATACGCATGCATCCAGAGCCGCCGGATCGACGTGGGAGTAGTATACCTGATGATCATCCGCATAAGCGTTCAACTTGGCCTTCTTGACGTGGAAGAAAAGATCGTTTATGAAAATGTTGAATAGCATGGGACCTAACACACTCCCCTGCGGGACCCCACGCTTGACGCTTTCCCAGGTCGAAAAGGTGTCTCCAACTTTAACTCTCTGAGTTCTGCTAGAGAGATAGTTCCTAATTAGGGCACAACTTTTGTCGTCCATACCATAGGCCCTCAGTTTCGAAAGGAGGAGTGGATACTGAATAACATCAAACGCTTTGGAGAGATCCATAGAGACTACCGCAACAAGCTCCCCCCTGTCACGCATCATTCTCCAGTCCTCGGTCAACCTTAGCAAAGAGGTCTCGCAACTATAAAACTTTCTATAAGCGCTTATGAAGTCTGATAAGACCCCATTGTAAAATTCATACATCTGCCCCGATAGAAGCCTTTCAAAAATATTGTTTAGAGCAGGGAGCACAGTTACGGGCCTATAGTTGATCTTACAAAACTCGTCGTCTTTTTTTGTACAGAGGGAGTAACCATGCCCATCTTCCAGCTAGCAGGATAACAGCAATGTTCAATGCAACAGTTTATTATACTTGTTATAGGCCGCGCAATAACAGCTGCCGCTTCTTTAATCAACTTTGGTGGGATCATATCGTGACCAGGTGACTTACGTACATTGATCTCTTTTAGTAATAGCTCAACCTGGGTTTCACTTGCGCGACGAAAACTGAAGCAAGCTGGAGCACTAGAGCCCCTGTGTTCATGGATTGCTTTGATGCTGGGATGATTTGCATAATCCTCACCGTAATCCTCTGCTCGTATTTCAGGCATGCTGTCAGCAATGTGAACAAAGTAGTCATTAAGCAGATTGGCAATCTCCTTTTTGTCACTAATAATCCTGTCATTTTCTTTCAAGATAATGTCATTGGCTTGCTTACTTTTAGTATGCAAAAAGGGGCGGAAAGTAGACCAGAATTCGCGCGGGTGTTCGGTGTCTGCTGTTTTCCTCGCGAAGTGTTGTTTTATTGCTTTTCGCCTAAGAGAGGTGCAGGTATTACGTTGAGTTTTGTATGCCTCGTAATTTGCATCAGTACGATTGCGCGTGAATTTTTTCCACAGTTTGTTGCGATGCCTGATCGCCCTCCTCCGTTGTTCCGTCATATAAGGCACCTGATTACCACGTATCATTGTTTGCTTGATAGGTGCGTGCTCATTGAGAACACTTAGAAACAATTGCTCAAAAGCATAAAGCTTATCATCAAGTTCATCAAACAAATCAATTATGTGGAAAGGCACAATTTGCATATCATGCACAAAGTTCTCTCGACTGAAGTTTTTCAGACTACGAAAACAAATCTTGCGAGATCGAGTCCTTGGTGCTGATGATCGCAGGATAGTATAAACTAACGAATGATCACTAAGTTGCGTGTCTACCACGCCTGATGTTAAGACCTTTTTCTTGTCATTCGTCAGGATTAAGTCCAGCAGTGTTTCAGTTGTTTTTGTTGTGCGAGTTGGTTCCGTAATCAAACAATCAAGATTAAAAATATCTAGCAGATCTAGTCTAAAAACACCGCAAGAACAGCAAGAAGACAACTCCACGGACATCTGCTATATGGAGTATACTTGCAGACCTGAGCAGACCCTATTCTCCTAAACTTCCAGATAAAGATGCATTATCGATATGAACTTACATCGACCGAGGTAAGCATGTTTTAGCTTGTTTTTAAACTTGGAATTATTTTGAAGGGATAATAAAACAATTATTGAATTCGGCTTTCGTAGGATATGAAGAATTCTGCAGATCTCGGAGGGTGTCATCAACCGAGGCCGAAGGAATTGCTAATTATTATATATATTATTATATATTATATCATTAGAGCCTGGAAGAGTTAATTTTTTTAGAAACATTGTGAAAAACTTTTTAATTTTAGAGGCTGATGGAGGCTGATAGGTATAATGGATGGTTTTTTCATGCACATGTTTTACAATGAATTTATGTATATCTACCTGGAGTTATGAAAACCGGGTTAGCAAACATTTGGCAATTTTTCTCAACTTCCCCTGTCCAATAGCTTGTTTACTGTGTTGTTTACTTATGTCGTTTTTTTACTTGTTTTGTGGTTAGGGATTTGTGTAGAAGTGGATGTAGACAGAATTACTATCTTAACCCCCCTCCCTTCCTATTTTTTTCTCCCTACCCACAATCCTCTCTTTAATACAAGTGACAGTTATTTGAAATAAGTGCGCGCCTAAAGCTGGTTTCGGTGCCGTTTAGCAGTTTCCTTTTAGATATTGGTCACCTTGAGAAAGTTTCCCGGAGAGCATCATGTAAAGCTCTGAGATGGGACAAAGTTATTAAGATTGCAGAGTCTGCATCGTCCAATATCGTATTTTAGTATATACTAAAACAGTGAATAATGTTTTTCGCTCGCTCTGATTGGCTACTCAATCAGTGAATATCCTGCACTATTCACTGATTCCCCTCCAGTTCCTCCGAGCGAGCGACGCCAAACTCACGTAAGTTGCAAGCAAAATGCCTTCCTGGTTTGCTGCCGCAACAAACAAAGAAATTTCACAACTAATCAAGCAAGCTGTTCCCGAAATACACGGAGAAGGTGATGAAGTTCGGTTTGGAAGTTTTAACAGGTAAAGCTTTGTTTTTTTGACTCGAATTAATCGATAAAACCGGTTAAAAGGTTCTATGTTTACAAACGCAAATTAAGCTTAAGTCTTGCGTTACTTTATTTAGTTGACTTGTTCATAAATAAGCTTAAAGCTAAATTTAATAATCTTTTTTTACAGAATGATTTTTAAGTACAAAAAGAATTCACAACTCCTTTTGAAGAAATTTTTTCCGCAAGAGCTAAACAAATGCCTTCAAAAGTTTTATTTGTCGGCAAGAAAAAGCGACGGCCGCGACCGTTCGGTCATTAGGCGCCAAAATTGTAATCGTTGGCAACAATATTTGAGTTAAAAATCATCATTTTTGTGCTCAATTATCTCACTGTTTTAGTATATACTAAAACAATTATTCTCCTCAGTGTCGGTGGCTAGTGGTGGAAATTTACCTCGCTACCTCGCATCTGGGTATTTTATCACGACTAGCCACCTCCCCTTCGGTGAATAATTGTTATATATTCTCGTTTCATTTGGCTAAACGGAGTCAACTTTTTCAGTCTTAGCTTGTTTACTGTGCTGTTTGCTTCTGTCGTTTTTTTTGTTTTTGTATTTCTTTGGTGGTTAGGGATTTGTGTTGAAGTGGCTGTAGACAGAATTTCGAAAATTTCTATCGAACCACCCCCTCCCTTTTTGGTTCCTTTTTATGCTCCTACCCACAATTCTCTGTCTAACACAAGCGACAGTTTTTTGTAGTCAGTGCGGTCGTAAAGCTGGTTCGGTGCCGTTGAGCAGTTTACATTTCGCTATTGGTGACCGTGAGAAAAGTTTCCCGGAGAGCATCAGGTAAAGCTCTGAGGTCGATGGGACAAAGTTAACACGATTCGCAGAGACTGTATCGTCCAATATCGTGTTGTATTCTCGTTTCATTTGGCTAAACAGATCAATCATCCTGATCAGGGCTGAGACAGAAAGGTACGACATTGTTCGCTTTTTAAGGGGACCACTAAGTCTTTGGCTTCGGGAACAGGCTTTTAGGAGTCAAATGAATTAGGCGAGAACAAAATTGCAGGTTAACTTTGACCCAGGCCATAGACAGCGTCTATGCTGGTCTGTGAACCGTTCGACCGTGCATCCGGGAACTTGAATAAGACGAGTGTAAGAGAAAAGTCAAGAAGTGCTTATTTGCTAGTAGGCTGAGTTTTTTTCGCGTTATTTGATGATATTTCTCTTGTGTTAAACGTGAGAAGATTATGCGTTGTTGTGGATAGTTGTATCAGTGCCGCGAAAGTGTGTGATTGTGTGATTTCCGCATGGTGTTGACAGGTATGTGGTCGATCGCGTTGTTGAGCTGTTGTACCAACCTCGTTCCCAGGGTCCTCTCCTACCCACCCTAGGGAGCGAGAGAGAGTAGGAGAGAACCCTGGGAACGAGGTTGCTGTTGCACCAAAATATTCCGTGTGAGCCATAACAACGTTTCGTCGGTGTTTGGCTTAGCTGATTGTGCCTCGAAAAACCAATTCTCGACTCAGGAAAATTGGGTCTAGGTCTAGTTTCAGCGGGCTCTTGGCTTTGAACCATTTAGGCCGGTTTTTGCGGAGAAGAAGGTGGTAGTTTGTGTTCTACGTTTCAATCAGTTTGTCGTCTATTCTATGCGAAATCCTGTCGTTTATCGGACCGCAAAAAGTAGTGTTTTGCTAACTGTTTAAGTTGATATGTAAGCCTTAACCAGGCACTTTTTGGCTGCAGTTCACTCAGCTTTTGACACGGATTTGAAACTTCACGGAGTCAGATTACTGAATAAATGTTCTTACGTTTTCGTCATTTTAAATTTGGACTCGTTGAAATGCTTCGAGGTACCATGAGAAGAAAAAAAGCGCTTTGTTATTTTCTGGTAACTCCCCAAGTTTATAACCAAAAAGGTTTGTTTTGTCGTTCTTCAGATGAAGTCCTGTATCATTCTTTGTTCTATTTCCTTGAAACCTAGAATTTCTGCAAACATTTGCTTTCCTTTTTTTTTGTCATAAATAATAAATAAATTGGGCAAAATGTTTCTTGTTAGGAAACGCTGAGTTCACGAAACGGCCAGTCTCCTACTAGAATAAAAGGGAGTTGTGAACATTGCATTGGGCAAAAAATTCAGTTATGCTTCAAAGTCTTTTCTTGCTTTAAAAAATGTCAACCCTAGGATTTTGTCCACTTTTAAAAGGTCGTTCTCTTCAAAAACAGGAAGAACACCGAGCTCATACATTATCCACTCGCTAGGAGGTGAATATTGTTGATTATTATTCATTCAAATTATTTCTCCGTTTCTGATTGGCTAAAATCACACGCATACTTCATCAGAACTAGGTACCGTTGACCAAATTTAAAGGAATTTTGCCATATTGAACTGATGACGTCAAAAGTGCAGCAATGTTGCAGACTATTGAACCGTCAACCGAGAAGACCTGGAGACGAAGTTGCGGTTATTTTGGTAGTGATACCAAACTAGCGGCACGTTTCACTCGTTTCAGCAGGAAGAAATAGGCGAACTATTGGCTAAAAACATAGCAAGAACTGCAAGAAGACAACTCGAATGGCGACATATGCTATTTAGAGAATGTTTGCGGGGCTGAACAACCTTTTATCCTCTAAACTTGCCGATTAACGTGCACTATCGATGGAGGTAAGCATGTTTTAGCTTGCTTTTAAACTAGGAATTATTTTAAATGAATAATAAAATAATTATTGAATTCTGCTGAGAATCATCTAAAGAATTATGCAGATCGAGGAGGGTGTTATCTGCCTTGGCGTACGGCCTTGGCGGATAACACCCTTCGAGATCTCCACAACTCTTCAGATGATACTCAGCCTCATTTAATAATTGTTAAATAGTCCGAGATAGCGAACCAATCAGATTGCTTAAATCACCAACATCACTGAGTGTGTATATACTAATGTTCCATATGAGATAGATGATGTTTTTGCTAGTTGAAACAACGAGTTCTAGTGATCAAAATGAATTATTTCTAACGAAAAAACACAACGTTTAGGTCATTGAAGTACTTCGTGAAATTGAAATCATTATGTATACGCACCTCAAAATGGGGAAAACTGGGAGATAAATGGTACTTGTATCTGGCGCCGTGATATTCTGCAGGATCATCTATACATGTGGAGCAAAACGCGCTTCCTTCACAAATTAAGAGATTTCCATGGATTCTGATACCCTGGCTTATCCAGGCCTGAAAGAAGTTGTTGTCGATTGAGATTAAAGCACGAAACATGCATACTAGTGATGCGAACCATACCGTAAAACTCCGAAAATAAGCCCCGGGGCTAATATTTTTCAAAGGCCTTTTTTGAGGGGCTTATTTTTGGAGGGGCTGATATTCGGAGGGGCTTATCTACGGAGGGAAGTTTGCTTTTCAAAATCAAATCGATTGCGCTTGCCTTATAGTTAGAAGGAAATTTACCGTTTTTGCTTTGTTTTTTGTCGTTGAGGGCAATTTCCAAGTACAAAGAATTAGTTAAGCGCTCAATCCAAGGATTTTGGTATTGGTGGGAATGGTACAATGGTTCAGGGGCCCTAATGGGGATCCTGTTGTGATGGAGCGATATGACGTCTTTTATCAGCTATTTTTTCTGACTTGCTAGTAGATTTTAACCGTTTTTTGAATCTCATCATCATATCATTATTGCTTGTCAAGGTACTTGCTCTAGTTTTTTAAAATTTTCTTGTGAATATTATTTTTGAATGAAGTTTACTAGAAGAGTTTTTGTTGGAAAAAAAAAAATTTGTTAACCCGGCACCGGATTCTCGATAATTACTGACAACTGCTCTTGCGTTTTGGTATTGAAGACAACAGCTTCCCTTTAAAAATTACTCTTGTAGAAGTTCTATTAAATTGAACCAAAGAGAGAACCTTAATTGCAACAACATCAACAAGAAAATCTAGTTCGGTGGTCGGCTGGGCGTGTTGTGGAGACATACCTCTGGACCTATTGGTAAGATGCCATTGTTCACACCATGAGCTACAAATGTCGTGTAAGCGATGTGATTTGCCATTTGTCGACTTTTCTCAGTTTCCTGAAGGACATGGTCCATTTTTGTTTCATCTTTATAGCAAAAAAAATTTAAAAAAATAAGCACTAATTTAACATTCAAGCAGCTTGAAAATACTGGGCAAGTTTCGCAAAAGCTTGGTTTCAACATAGTTAGTAACTAACTACGGTTTCAAGAACTGGGGCCACAGCCATTGCAGCCCTGCTGTAATCAGAAACCTACGGCGAATACAGATTGCACTACAAGAAGAACTACTTTATGCTGAAAGGAAGGGTGAGATTAAAGAACTTCGGCGAATCTTTGTTTACACTTTTTTCCTCATTAACATATACTTATCACTGTCTGATGACGCTGATAAAATAAAAACTCTGAATATTGAAAGGACATAACAGTTTCAGTTATCTCTGAAAATATGAGCCCAATACATCGAATGGTTTCGGAGAAATTCTCTTCTAAAAACTCGAAATTTTACAGAGAATGTATGGCCATTAACTTTTTCGCCACAGCAATTTCGCAGTTTTTGATGGCTGATATTTCCTTCAATATTGCTGGCAAAGAGCTGACAATTGCACAAATTGCCCAACTTTATCAGCTCTTTCGACTTTTGCATTTAATTCATATACAGCTATTTCGAGAAAGGTTGTCGGAAAAATGTGCACGCGACAATCCCGAAAGGTAATATGGGATATGATCGATACACTGTTTCTGACGACTTTAGCTGTCGAACCTACTTTTGTTGCTTTCCTTTAGCACTCAAAAGAACATTGCCATGGCCTTTCGTGCCAATTCTTTCAAATTTCTGTGAAGAACTGTGAACTCAAAACCACCCACAATGCCTTTCGGGATTGTCGCGTGCATTTTTTCCGACAACCTTTCTCGAAATAGCTGTATACGGCCACGGCTTCTATGAGTTAAGTCGTATGCCAATGAGCAAAAATGTAAACAATGACGTCAGCAAAGATTCGCCTACTCATCAAACTTACTTTGCTTTGTCCCTTTCGTTTCGAAACAAATCAGAAAAAAAAATATTACTTTGTTTCTTGTAATGAAGCTTTGGGTAAGAATACCCTTTCACATGGGAGATATTCCGTCGGCGCTCTAATCAAACTACTTGTGTGTCAACTTGTGTTATTGTAGCAATTAAAGGTTAAATTTGACCAGCATTTTGTGCAGCCAGTTGTATGGTCAGGATTGACTTCAAACTTGCGGATATGAAACTAGAGAGCTCTGGTCCTTCTTTGCTGATGTTAGGGAAAAATCTGTAATTACATTTTTGAAAAATGCGGTTTTTAAAGAAATGCAGAAATCTGACACGTTTTTATGCCTAAATAACAGATAACAGATTCTTAAAGTTGTCAAAATTTTTTTCCGCCCTTTTTGGTCTTAAAATAAGGGGGGCGGGGCTCCCGGGCTCCTCCCCTGGATCTGCCACTGAAATCGTTCCACGCTAATAAACAGTTTCGGGCGACCTTAAACTAGGATATCTGAACGGAGACTATAGCGCGGCTGGACTAGTAAATTATGTTCTCCTGTCAAACTATATTTTTTAATTAGAGTGCGAGCATTTATCTTTTGATAAATCGACTATCATAACTGAATTCGCTGTACCAAGCGCAAGGCTAGTAGACATGCTCTCAAAACTGTATCGTAGCAACATGCAGCGCATGCTCATCAAAAACGATCTTACTCGATTCATGTAGAGTCTTTCTCGAGTGCGCCACAAGAATTTTCGTAAACTTGGTAGTGTGTTTTCTTCTGCCAGCAAAACGATCTTCTCACCTCTAAAGAGGCCACCAAAGTTCGGTGAATTTCATGACCGTTCTTAAACAAATTGCGGCATTTCTCCAAGAGCATTAAGTCCCGTGCAAACGGACGCAACATTGTTGGCCAACAAGTCCCAACATTGTTGGATGTTACATGTTGCGTTCGTTTGCACGCCCTGTTGCATGTTGTTGGATGTTGTTGCGTGTTGTTGCGCAAAGTTTGAAACTGGTCAAACTTTTCAGCCAACAACTCCCATAATTTCTTCTGTTCCGTGACCACCGAAGCGTAGCGCAACAATGTTGCATCCGTTTGCACAGCTCTCCCAACGTTAATGGGGCCACGCACGCTCATTACGCATGGTTTACAAAGACTTATGGGTTGTATTCTTCCCACGATGCACTGCAGGTCCCAACATTGTTGGGAGTTGTTGCTTCCGTTTGCACACCACTGCCAACACGCACGCAACAACTCCCAACATTGTTGCGCCAATAATGTTGAGAGTTGTTGCGCCCGTTTGCACGCAGCCTTAAATTTCATCCGTGCCTTTTTTTATCCCAGTTCAGTTGATTTGTTCGGTAAACTTTTATGTCCTTGTAAACATAACCACCGAAACTGTAATTTATTAGAATGCACTTTTCCGCAAGCGAATACTGAACTACCAGTGCTCTATAGTCTTGACTTGTTCGGGTGCCGTGGCGCAACTGTTTAACAATACTTACAAGATTCTAATTTGCCCGATGTGTCTGTTCGGTAAAAGTACGTTCCTAGATGACGTCAAAATGCGGTAAATGACTCATGACGTTTAGGCAACTTGGTCACTGAATTTTCTTTCCACATTTTGACGTCATCTTCGATCTATAACTGAACATAAACATGTCAAAATGAAAACGAAAACTAGACATAATTTTGTAGCGCTTAGCTGTTTTATTATTGTTCAAATTTAGGCAATTTTCAGTTCAACCCACCAATGCTGATTTTCATTTCGGTTTCCCCTACAGCCTACTTGCAGACGGCTTCCGTACATTCTGTAGTATTCGATACATTGTATATCAGAAAATCATTGTAGGGCTCTGTTAAATCCAATTGAGAGTATACAGCAGGTTTTTTCGAAAGAAAGTATGTGAAGTCTAAAGTGTCTAAAATCCTACTCCTAACCTATGTAAAGACATTGCGTACTGTATTTTTTAGAAAAATCATCTTAACTTGTACCTGTCAGAGGAAAGGAGTATCTATATCTTGAAAAGTACTCATTTTCGAGAGTTTCTACCACACCATTTAAAGACTTCTTGTTGAAACAATTCTAGAAAATAAACAAACCAGTAGTTCATGTCTGACATGTAAGATGCTAGAACAAAGGATAGAGACGCCGGGGCATAACGGTTAGCCCCTTAGAGGCTTTACTTCAAATCTATAGACACGAGATTTTCTGTTGTTCTAGATTTCGACAAAATAAATAAGTCTAGCCGGCAAACGTTTGACATACGAAGCGGCTAAGTTGATTTGTATAGGGTTTTCTAAGGACTGTTTTAGTGGCTGGCGATGGCCAAGAAGTTAGAATGTTGGATTTCAGACGTGAATGTCCAGTGTTTAATCGACGCCCGTGCCACTATAAGTTTTTAAGACAGCGGTAAGTGTTGACACTTACCCTTTTTTCAATTACCCACGCCGAGACCTTGTTCTCAGGTACTAACGTAGGCAATTAATCCCTGTGTGCTATTCACTTCTCAAAATGGTGTCGAAAGTGGGGAAAGGAAGTCTGAAAACTGTAAACAGCAGGGGCGGATCCAGGAATTTTTGATGGGGGGTCCAACTTTGGTTCAGAAAGGACTGTTGAACGTTTTTGTGGCAAATTACTTCTCCCCCACACTCCTTCCCACCAGTCAGTTGCACGTTAAAATTCCTTGGCCCCTTACCGTGTACTTGAATTCTACTCGTAAAGGATGCCTAATTCTCGACAAGCTGAGAAAAAATTAAGACTTCAAAGTTAAAGTCAAGGAGAAGTGTAATAATTGTGCACCTGTACATTGCAATTGTAAGAACACTGGGGAAAGCTTTGATCGCTATGTGTCAAGGACTCTGTGCAGAAATTATTCTTAGCTTGGCACACTCAGCATAAACGTTTACCATATAAGGTCAAACTAAGGTTTATAAGCTGATAACCGAGATTGAGTGAACCAATCAGAATGCTAGAAATGCATTATCCGAGGTTGAAAATTTAATAAAAAGTGATATACGATCTTGTAGATGTAAGAATTTCAGTCTCAAACAAGCGTCATGTCTGATGGGAGGGGGGGTCCGCCCCCGATCCTTCCCCTGTATCCGCCACTGAACAGTTACCCATCGAGCACCCAAGGTGTGAACAGAACACAATTTTGCCGGTACCCAGGTACTAGTTCTCAGGCACCAAGTGTGGGCAGCCCCTAAAAGACATGTTTTGAGTCAAATTCCCCTCCCCGCTCTTCTCTCTCTCTCTCTCTAACTATGCTCTCTCCCATTGCAAACCATGCGTAACAGGTTCTGGTGACACATTGACATATAGTCTCCCGTATATATGATGTTAGGAAAACTTTGAGGCAAAAAAGCTTCTTGTGAAATCAAAAATCACTGTTGTGTACAGGTGGAACTTAGGGATTGGTGGTTCTTGTTTAATTTCACTTTGCTTCCTATTTGACAAGAGGGGAAGTTGGTTTTGCGGGTGTTTTTACTGTTCCAAAACATAAACCAAGTAACACAGTTTTTGTCATGTACAAAGTTACTCACTTTCTTCTCCGGTTGTCTTCCACAGCATTGCCTTGCACACAGAAGGCACAACCATTTTGTCAAAAGAAAGAACTGTGATATCAGGTTAAAAGGTACCGGTATTGGATGGTAAGTGCTGTAGGTCTGGATCGTTATGGCTTTCTTGAACGACCATTCTTTCAAGGAGTTATCCTCAACAAAACGAAAAAGAAAACCATAAATATTTACTCTCTATTAGCTGCTACCGTAAAAATATCTTACACAATGCATACTCAAATTGTTAAGACATAACTGGTGTTTGTCCTCAGGTTTCCGCTTTAAGTTAACTTCAAGAAATGCAAAACAAACCAACACAGATTTTTTATTTCGCCAACAATCGCGCGACTCTCTTCGTCCAAGGATGTTTATCTAACTGTCAATCGATTCGCGCCAACCAAGAGAGAATGAGCTAAGAGAGCGAATCCCTGTGCCCCATGATAATTTTTTAAAATCTATTTAAAGTTCGCGCGGGTGCTGTGAAGGCTATTTTTGTCTGTTGTTTCCGTGACCCGCGCGGTCTACTTTTACGTGAACGTGACATGTTTCGCCACAAAACGTTTGAAGTTTGTCAGCCATTATAGTAATTAGCGCCAGGAGCCGATACTAATCGGCTCCTGTTGTTGACCTGTTTTTGATCAGCGCTTTCCGCTCATAATTTAGGAATGAATTTCATTTACAAAGGGATTGCAGTATGGAGTCAAAATTTCACTTTCAGATTAAAGATTGAGATTTTCTAACGGCTGGTGTCTCATTTAAAGTGACGAATATTGAATTCTGACACACTGTGAAAGCCAGTGGCAAAGGTTATCACGCGCGAAACACGAAACTTTTAATTAGTGGCTGGCTTCAATTGTTCATGCAAATGTGCAAGATATATTTTCTCTTTTTCCAGGAATATTTTTCGTTCAGAAGCAGTACATTTGCTTTTAAGAATTATTCTTCAGCGTTTCAAACTGCATTACTTCTTCTTAACGTCTAATACTTGCGATGAATATTTCGTTGTGCAAACACAAATCAGGTCAGATGCTTCAAGCTGTTAAACAGTTGCTAACCTGGATGCCAGAGAGTTTTGATGCGGTTTCTGGTTTCGGTCAATTCTTTATAGTGAGCGGTGTGCCCACATTTGTCTAGCGTCCTCACAAACATCGCGGCCAAACATTATGTTTGAACCCACTTTGAACCTATTTTCTCCTTACGTGTCCACGGTTGGATCCAAACGACGGTATCACAGCTCGCGGGTAATCGTGGATGTCGCCGGACGAGACAGTTGTCGTTTTTTGCAATAGGATGTTGGTTGTTTATATATTGATGTGGGGAAGACCTCAATAAGCAGTTTTCGCCGAGTCGGAACCGCTTTCTCCAGCGAACTCCCACAAGCCAGGACCGTTTTGCTCTTCGTCAGCTACTCTGGCCAGATTTTTCCACTATAAATCTTTTGACTCGTCGACGAAAGTAATAACAAGTTTGCACGTCATATCGCTTGCTGTGCGTGATCGGCAGTGAAATAAATCACCCGCCAATTTTAAAATTACATGACGCCACTCTAACCGACCAATAAGGTGGCGTCCTTAAAATAACCACGCAGTATGACACAGAACCAAGAATAGATTGAAAATAATTTTCATGGAAAGAGGGTCATGTATGGGGGATTCGCTCTCTTAGATCATTCTCTGTTGCGCCAACTTAACTTCCTGCGTGATTTAGTTTCGGATGCTATTTAAGGTTCCTTGCTTAAATGGAAAATTGAAATAACGCTAAACAACAGGGTTAAAATTTTTCTTGTTTGCTTTTATGCAGGAGCTATCGACGATATCTTGGAAATTGACAGTGCTTTCATGTACCTTTTTCGCGCCTGGACCAATTAAAGGGAACCTCCACTCTTACTACAGAATAAGTTTAAATCGAATAAAATTACGTTGATAAACAAATTTGTTCGAAATTTGTCTTAAAAAAAGTGTTTATATCAGGAAAAGTGAATTTTAAAATCGCTTATTTTCACTTTCAAATTTCGCGGGCGGTTCTGACACAAAGAGCTTTTGTTTAATAACAATAGGGCAACCATTACACGTCACAATTATTCAAGATGGCGACGCCCGCAAAATTTGAAAACAAAAATAGGCGAATCTAAAAGTTATTTCTTTCGGATACAAAAGCTTTCTTTAAAAATATTTTAGATTGACTTGACTGTAACAGTTATTTCCTGTGATTTAAAGTTATCTTTTTGTTGAAGTGGAGGTTCCTTTTAAGAACTTTAAGGACGTTTAGAACATATAACTTCTTGAAGATTAGTTTCAAAAATAAAAATATCATTTGTTATCACGCTGTCATTTTGCATATTGCCCTATACCCCAAAAAACTTTATACTTCTAGACTAATGCATTACAAAATGTCCTAAACATTTCAAAATTGCAGGCCTACAATAGCTATAGCTATGCCGTCGATGTTACCTCAACTCGCTGGTAAGTGTTAGACAGTATAGCTATCATCATATTAACGAGCAGAATGACTCCCAAGACAAGAAATGTTCCAAAAAGAAAGTGCACAATAATCAGTGATGTACTGTCCACTGAGTCCAAAGGGTCCAACTCCGCTATTCCTAACAAAGACCAGGTAAGGAGCTTTGTCATGCTCCACCAACTGGGTCGATGGAAACAAGAAAGATCACAGCAAGTTAATTAGTATAAAGATTAATAAAGGGTTTAGTTTATCGTTTGTCTTACGATTGCCTCTGAGATACTGATCGCGACGTTTCTACCCCGTACTACAGGTCTTCATTTGACGATTTATTGAGTGGGACTTTAGTATTTGTTAGCCAACCTGGTTGTTGATGATTGATGTTTCACGGACCTCACTTATGATTGATGGGTTTTGATCCAAATCATTGTTGGCATTATTAGAGGAGAGTGAGGGTAGGGGTGACGGGTGAGGGTGCTATCTTGAACACCAGTCAGTTGTACACAGTTAAATATGTTATAATCATGATATGGCCAAGTAATCTCACATGTCATATTACAGATAATACTTTTGCTGCGAAGCTACCAGGCTTCGCAGCAGACTAATTCAGGTCGCGTACGTGCCTGCCTGGGTTGCCTGTGCCCGAAGCTAGCCTCATTTGAGATATTTGATGTATGAATGTATATCACCGCATTTGCCTCGATTTCCAGTATGGCCCTCGAAATCGAGCCTCTCTCGTTTGTAGTCCTAGAAAACTTTAATCCCGGGAGAAATCCTATTCCTTGAGCGGGGTGAATAGGCGAACGGATAGGCGGATTTTGAAAATATTTTTGTCGGGATTTCGGATTCAAAGCGAGATTTTCACGGATTTCCGGATCCTGCAATTCCAGCGGATTGCGGATTCATCTATTTTTTGGGCCCGGATTTTGGACTTTCCGTGTATTGAAAATTTTTTTGCCTGGATTTCGGATTCAGGTAGATTCAGGGCGAAAATGGCAGGTCGGATTTGGTTAATAAATTATAACGGATCGGCGGACTTGCATACTCCTATTCACGCCCCCCTTCCCCTCTTTCTTGTAGAAAGCCACGTTTTGGCAAGCGACGAGTACGAGTATTGCCTAATTTCATACCGCGTGGGAGCCTGGCACCACCGGATTTTCCCGGACTTTTTAAATTCTTGATTCAAAATGTCTTCTAAAATGGAAGGTAAAGCAAAGGTCACTGCGTGCAGTTGAAAAGATATTAATAGCCAGATTACTCCAGAAAGTTAAGTTAAGTTAAGTTCTACAGCAAAGAACAGTTCTTTTACTGCTTTAAAGAACTTCGATCAAAACATTTCAGAAAAGAAAGATCTAATCGGAGACTTTCGCTACTTGGAAGTATTCATTTGGAGGGATTCCCGAATTGTTCGACCAAACATTTGAACAAAGAAGCGTCGAGTTAAGCTTTTTTACGGCGCTGGATCGGACCGAATATTGGGAAAGATAAGGGAGTGGGTGTACCTGTTTTTACAAACCGTTAAATAAAGACCACAAAAGCAAAACACACCAGAGTGACCCTGAGTGAAAGGCAACATTTTATTAGCTCGGCAAGGCTTACATTTGATTTTCTCCCCGTCGCTGCGTACGGTCTCAGTAGAAATCCGAAATATCACACAAGAAACAATTCTCACTGAACATATATAAAAGCAAGTATACTTCAGTCTTACCTGGGAGGCCTTTTTCGTCCGGTAGCACTGCAGTTCCTGTGACCAGACCTCACGCATTGAGCAATGTTATAATATACACAAGTAATTTTTCTTAGGGGGATAAATTGTGTATAGTTCCTTTTCAGGGGCACCCAATGGATCTGTTCCTCAAAATATCTGTTCTTCATGCAAATTTTTGCTGGCTGGGAGATGTGGAAGAAATAATAGTCCTTGGAAGGAAAGTGTTGCTGGGAAAAAGATAATTCAGGGTGTCAGAGGGGATTTGAAGTCTAGAATAGCTGCTACGGGTTACTTGTATGGGTTGCTTACCACTCAAGATCTGAATTGTGCCGTATGAAACTTCCCAGTAAGTCAGGTTGCAGGTTGTAAGGTTGCTGGCTGGGAACTCTTCCATCAGTCTTGCTGGGAGTGAGGAACAGATAATTTTTTTCCAGCAATCTCCCAAAATGCTTAAAATAGTCTCAGAAAACTTTATTCACGCTTTGTTGTTGTTTTTAGGTCTTTTTCTCAAAATTTCCCGTTGGGTGCCCCTGCCTTTTCAAGGCTCTTGCGTGTGATTTAGACACTACTCAAGACATATATAAATTCATTGATAAAATGTCAAATGGCAATAGCTTAGAATTCGAAGGCTCACATGTTGAGCTGCCTCTTTTTGGAACTAAGACCATGTTTACAATTTGGGCAATCACCTTGTAATCACAATCAAGAATGTCACGTACATCTACCTTTTGGCTAACACGCACTGAGTACAGACTAGTCCATTATTCTCCCTGCATGTGATATATGATCACTAGGTTTAACATACATGACGCCACAAAGTTCACTACACTCAGTACCTTTCACGGAAATTTTGAATTAAATCCCTAAAGGAGTCCGATCTGGGCGTAGCCTAAGCTTTTTTTGACCCCTAAAAGAGACCATGTTAAAACACAGACAATATATATATTTTTATATTTTTTCGCGTGCAACCCTTAACGAGACCTTTACGGCTAAATATGATAGCTTTTTGACCAGAACGCCCTAAGTGAGACCAAAATCCGAAATTTACACCCCTAAGCGAGACGACGAGCATCCCCACCCCTTTCATATGCGGAGTCCCCCAACCAAGGACTTAGCTTACGATCGGTACGAACACAATCACATCTTTGTACTTGCCTGTAGTGCTTCTCTACTTTACAGATGCGGGTAGAATTAAAAGAGGCTCCTTTGCTGTAGAAAAATTATAATCATCTTTGGTTCGAGCGACCTGTTCATCGAACAGTTGCTTGCACTTGCTGAGTGTCGGCTCCTTAAGTTTAGCTTCAGGTCATGGCAGAAATGTTGCACCCTTTCCTTACTAAGTTTAGGCAGATTCTCCGAGGGAATATTGATCAATGTTTCTTCGAAAAAGAATGCTTTCGTTCGAGTTTTTACTCTGACTATCCGCCATTCTAAAACTGGACTTTTTAAAAACTCCGGGAAAATCCGGTAGTGCTAGGCCCCCGAGCGGTATGAAATTAGGCAATAAATGCATGCAAGTGAAGGTAAAAAATTCCCGTGAATTTCTCAGAATATTTCAAGCAATTCCTGGAACTTTACTGTAAATAAAGTCGGTGTTTTGGCTAAAATTGTATTTAATCAGGCTTTGTTGTATTTATTACATTGCTAAATTGCCTTAGCTATTAAAAGCTTTTCTAGAAAGTGTGACAAGGTTTATTCTCCCTTGGTAGTAAAACGTTTTATACACGACGGAAGCACAGATTGGAAATGATTTGCTACGCTCGCGAAGAGTTATGAACCAGTTTAATATTGAACTTAATTGAACTCGATTGGAAATTCACTCTTTCACTCACTCCATCGCTAGCGAGCTCTTAACTTTATCGTGGACAGATTTCAGACAAATAATACGCTGATTTATTCTTACGGACTTTTATACAATTTAGCTTGACATAAACACTTATTTTGGTTCAAAGTTCAGTTTTTATCGATCACCTTCGTGTAGCGTAGCGTTACATGCACAGTTATTTGACACGGTTAATAACGGCTTGGAAACTAAAATTTGATAGCATTTTGTTTTGAATAAGGGTATGGGCATGATTTTCAGTTGAACATGCCTAGCGAGCGTAAAAATCGCATCCAGTCTGAGGACTAATGAGAGAGGGAAAATTTTATATATTTAGGCATGACAAAATTCAAGGGAACATTGGTACTTAGAAATAACATCTCATAGGCATGGAAAAAATGGGTTCATGCCCTCGCAGCCCAAAATTGACCCAGCTAAACTTAGGTCCCAGATCTCTCTCCGGGTTGATAATTCATTCCCAGTTTTTGCTCCTCTGGTTTGGCATGCCGGGCATGCCGATCGTGAAGCCACTTGGTTTGGCATGGCCGTCATGCCGGGCATGAAATTGGCATGCCCAGCGAGACTGATTTTGATGTTTGCTTCAGCATCATATCCTGAGAATCACATATAATCGCCAAATATATCTTAGGGAACTTGAAGTTACAGGTTTCATGCCTGGCAATAAATGCAGATTATAACAAAAAAAAAGTCATGTTTGTCACAATGTATGTCACGGGATCGACTGGCAAAACCTGCAAAACTGAACACAGAAGCCTGGATTTATAAATAAAAAGCACAACAAAACAACATTATTCATGCATAAAATAGAATACTTAACTTGCAATCAAAGATTAATCCTTTTATTTCAAACCGATACTGACATTTCTGGGTCCAGATTTAAATTTGATCGTGGAAAAGCGTCTTAAACAATAAGATAACAAATCTTCTCAGTATAAACTTACCCATCCTTAAGTTTTATCGCGTCGGAATGTTTCCCGGTCAACAGCATTAAAAGACTGGTGAAAATTAAGCTTACCAGGTCGTTCAAGTCAGTACGAGAGTACGACGTTAATACTGCAAAGACGTTTTGATTTGGTGAATTTGGACTGCCTTCTCAGAGAGATTTTGCTTAGTTTTTCAGTGCGCTTCTTGTCGGCTATGCGAATCTCGCAAACTGTTTTACTCCTTGCTGACGATAGTCCTTTGAGCAACGTCATCTGCGTCATCCGAAGATACTCCGAGCACGCACGAAACTGGCCGAGTTTCCGCAGAAGTGTTTTCGGATAACGATGAATCTAGTTTGTTTTAGCGAGGCAGTTGTGGCGTCACGATGTCGTCATGTCTCTTCGCACTTGTTTGTCTTTTTTTTCTGCGGTGCATGGTTGAGATGTTGGTGAATGCTGGACAAGAAATGGATTCTGCGAGAGACTGTAAGTACAAATTTAGTATTAATTTGGGAAAGAAAAAGCCTGAATATCGAACAAATCCCGAGAATTAGCCTTTTGGCATTCAGTTTATCTTGCTGTTGAGCATGCCTAAGAACTCCGGCATAAGTGGTTGTCAACTCGTTCACTTCGGATTGTTTCTGTTTGTTGTATGTCTTGTAATCTTCTTCTGCTGCTAAGAAGAGTAGAGAAAACTTCAAAAATGTAGAAACCAAAGCTAAAAAAAGTCAGATCTAATTTTATAGCTCGAGTATAATTATTTTTGGCACCTACGGTCATATTTTTTCACTGCACTGGTAAAGTTACTTATTTTTGCTGCATAGTTTGACTGTTGGTTGAAAGACAATCAAACGGATATTACAATCACTTTTGGAGACAAAATAAAATATCCGTATATCAAATGCCAAAATCAGATTTGGATTTCGCTTTAAAAAAATGAACATGCTGCAGGTGTTAATGCAAAGTTGTAAACAACTCAATATAAGCAGTCTGTGAATGTGCGTTTAGGTCTACAAAACTAATTTTTCTTTTGGACATCTCATCCAAGCAAAGACTTAAGGCTTACATGGCTTGTCTACGGGTGTACTACAAAATGCTTTGCTACAGTAAGCCTCTGAGAGGCGATTCTGGTAAATTTATAGGACGCTAAAATGCAAATAATTCTAAGCTTAAACAACCTGGCTGGGTCCGACTTTTGAATTACAAATTGTTCACGTTTGCCGGCTCTACTTTAAATGAACATGATTTTTGAAATGATTTTATACTATTTTAACCCGAAAATTATGATTGGGTTATAAAGCTTTTAAAACGGACGAAAACTAAGCTAATAAACATGTTCAATGTAAAAAACTAAGATTTAGTCGCTTTTACAACTTTGCTTTGTGGGCCGAAAAATTTACCTTTACGCAAAAACAAAAGCAAACAATATGAGGCTTTTATTCGACATATTTTCTGAGAATTTTATCTGATCAGTTTAATGTCACTAGCATTGTTTTCGTATAGGAATTTTCCTAATTATATGAGCTTTTAATTTAATAATTTTGATACTCTATAAACTTCTCATTTGATAGCTTCACTTTTTTATACACCGATTGAGAAACAAATTCGCTCTCGTTAAATCCTATTTTATGACCTATTTATTAGAATTCTACGTAACATACGAAATGATGTAACCGGACAGGCTTTAACCTTTGGTCCTAATTTATTTTTTCTTCGCAACCCCTAATCAGTTGACGGGCCGTGAGAAAATATCGCCAAAAAGATGCGAAAAAGTTTTCGCTGAGTTTTCCTTTACATATTACGGCTTTATATGGGTCTACACCTTACCTGCTTAAAAATGAAACTGTTGTTCAATTAAGTGTCAGTCAAACTCGGTATAATCTTGACTTGCAAATCCAAATGCAAAGGTTTATTTCGCAGTAGAAGAGCGTGTAAACATCATCGAACAGCGCAATGCAAATTGGCTAATGTGAAACCACGTTTCTTTCACTTTATTTACCATGCATTTATCTCAATTGCACACTCTTGTGAAATTAGCCTCAGACAATTAGTTGCGACCTTTAGCAGACTCAACAAGCCAGTATGAAAATATGTTAAGAGAAGCTGAGCTCTACATGTTCTATTTTTTTTTTTCATATTGCCCTTGCATGTGTTAACATTCCATTTCTTTTTTGTTACAGGTAACTTCGAGACATGACGAGGAGATAATTACTTTTCTAGAGAGCAATTCTTTGACACTGTCAGTTATTACTAACTTACTTTGAGTTAAAAACAAAGAACACAGACACTGGTAATGACACAAAAACATTAATCCCTGGCAAGCCTACAAAACAAGAAAGAGGAACTCAGACTCCTTATCAAAATGTGAAACAAGATAAAAACAGCTTTTCTAACGTAGGGAAAATTGCGTTAGAGAGATTTGTAATTGCAACTTTATATTCAAGCACATTGCATTGTCAAACATCATAATTTACTGAATAATGAACAGTGATTTTGGGGCTTAACTCAGTTTGTAATGAACTTTGAAAGATATTCTATAACCTTGTATTTTTAAAAGCTTTCATGGAATATAGATGCATTTTATTATACAATGAAAATAGTCTCTGTCTCTCTTTTTACTGATTTCAGTCAATTCCATTTTATTCGCAATATGAAATGGGAATCCTATTAAAGACTCATTAAAAGGGGTGAGGAGTTTTTACAATCCCCCAACAGGTCATCTCCACGATGACGCTGTTTTATTACTACGGCAGAATCCCTCAGGGTTTTACTTTCTTATGAAAACTAGAGCTTTTGTTATTTAAACTTCGCTGGGACAACCAAATCTATGAAAATGAAAGGAATAGCAATGACGTCATCGTGTAAGCGTACATCAAAAGATAAGCACTGTGATCTGTTTAGTTTTTTTTTTGTTTTAGCCAGGCTTAAAATATCTGTAGATTCAAGGAATTATAACCTGTGCGTTGAGAGCATGCCAGAGACCGATTTTGGCATGCCCGGCATGACCCAGATTATGGCACGCCCGGCATGACAGAAAATTTGGCATGCCGGGCATGCCAGAAAATTTGCCATGCCCGGCATGCCGGAGATTTTGGTATGAATTACTTATTACTAGAACCTAGGCTTCTCGCGGCCTGGGTGAGAAGCTCACGGAACCTCAAATTATGCTTACAGGGCATGCGAAATTCTGTTGCATGCCAATTTCAATGCAAAACCACCCTGGGGCCAGCCCCTCTATTACCAGTGAGCAAATCCTTGACGATAGGCATGGGAAAAATCCTTGCATGCTAACCAACATTGAAAACGTAGCAGAAATGTTCTCAATTGCTGAGTCATGCCCTAAGGGAGGCTTTAAAATACAGAATTTCCTGACATGGATGAAAGAATTTTCCGTAAACAGCATGCGATCATGCCGGCTAGGACGTATTGCGTCCGTATTGCCCCTTTTTACAGTTAGCTAGGCTCATTTTTAGGTTCCATGGCCTGAAATGACGAAAAATTCATGCCCTAAATGTAAAAAGTCCAAAAACGTCCTCGAAATTTTAGTTTCCAAGCCGTTTTAATGTCAAATATCAACAATCGAAATAAACTGCATCTGATTCAGTTATTTGAAATGTCATGCTTTACTCACAGCACTTCACTTTCCATTGGAAGGGAAAAAATTTTTCACTCAGATTTGCTTTTGGATCATGGAATACTATCAAATAAGAAAGATAAAAAAGATACCTCTCTTGGAAATTCAATTAATTAGAAACATTTTGGCCAAATTTATCGCTTCTGTTTAAAGCTGCCCCTATCCTTAATCCGGCCATCTACGACGTTATCGCTCTTTCTAACATTTTAGGAGGCGAAGCTAACAGAGCATAACATTTTTATCAATAGTTTATAATAAAGCGCGAGGCGCCAAAAGCGTGGACCCTCGTCGTCGAAGCATGCGAGCCTCACGGCAAATGAAGGGCGTCTTTCCCCAGTCCTTTGTTTGGCGATTGCTCACATTTATGACCAACGCAAAATGGTGTTCGCTTTAAAACGGTCTAGGCTACAAGGTTATCTACAATTATTAGGAGCCTACGTAGCTATATTCATGTTTTTTTACCTTTTTATTACACTGTACTGAAAAAATATCAGCTCTCACGTTGCCTCGAAAGTCAAATTTCAATTTAATACGAGTATTTATCTAATATCCGTTGTCTTAGGCTCTGTTCACACTATACCGGATAACAGCTCTTCGTGACGCCACGAAAAGCCATCTCGCATAGTATGAGCAGCAGCGGCCTGGGGCGGCATAAATCGTTCACACACATCGAACATCATACCGGAGCAGTTGGCCGCGAGGGTTTGGTGCACGAAATTCCAGTCCTCACTCCTGAATATTTGCTTTCGTCTCAGTGGGTTCCAGTCCTTAGTCCTACGTATTACTTCCGCAACGGACAGCTGGAATAGGTGTTCACATAGACTTTTTGCCGCGGTGTTGGTGTTCACACAGACTTTCTCAAAGTCCTTCGCTTCTCATTTTTGGTTCCGGTAGTTGGCCCCAGCGCGAAGGTCTTTTATCACCTGCAGCGCGCCAAATTGACAGGAGGAATTTTCCTCCTGTAGCTTCTATCCAATCACGAACGGTTTTGCTGATGCGCCGTCAATCAAACCCGATCACGCCACACGAAACGTGACTTGAACTGTTTTGTACAAATTCGATTTCGTTTTATCGCCCGTATTCAAATACAAAGCTTTAGTGGGCGTTTTATCTTCCTCCATTTGAGTACTTTACCAAGGTCGAATTTTCCTGGCAGCCACGGAGGGAAAAAACATTACCCACTTGTTTTGTTTCGAGCGCGCACTTCAGAGTTTTTTTTTATTTTTCTTTCATGGCGTATGCAAACCTTGCAACGAGCCTGAAACGTCTGGAGACTGAACTCTCGAATATCACAAGACGGCACCTTTGTTCATTACCCGTTTTTGGTATTGAACATTCTGTTATTTACTTTATTTACTTTCTCTTATCGGAATTTTTTCCCGTTATTTGTTTGTTTTGACATACTTTGACAGCTCGCGACGGCGACACACGCACGCGACAACACACGCGACAGGGACGCAAATGATTCGCCTCAAAATGACGTCACTGGATGCGATTTTTTACAGCTAGGGGAAACAAGTCTCGCTCTCGCTCTCTCTTTTGCCGCAGAAAACATTAAAAAATATACCGCTCGGGCTTCGCGTTCGTGAAAAAACTTTGAGCTCTATTTGTAGGCAAGTCTAGTGTCCACACTGCACCAAAGTATGGCACAAAAGATATCCAATAAGTGAGGCTCCACGTTCGCTACACAGCCATTCTGACGAGGGAAAGAAGAACGGCTGCAGAAAACACTACTTTCGAGATTGGTGCGGTGCAGCTTGTTCCGTCACAGAACCCCCCCACCCCACCACAACCATTCTGGTGTGTGAACAGGAGCCCTATCCGTTATAATTTCCATGGGGGCGCAAAGATATCCACTATAGTGTGAACATAGCCTCAGTGGTCGTGAATTACCTTGAGCTTAAGGTAATTTTTCCAGGTACATTTAAATGAACGCCGGTAACATTCGATAAGAAACATTTGGCATGTGAAATAAGTGTATGGAAAATTCCATCGAGATGAAATAATAACTTACCAAGCTAATCCACTAGAAGTTTTGCAAGCACTATAATTATGAAAACGAGAAAGCAATTAGAACGTTTTAACCGTGCAAAACCAGGGTCATCACCAGCTTTGAAAAGTTTAATTGTGGTTCGTCAGTTTCATAATAATCAGATCATAAATAATGAGAAACTTTATTTAAATAGCGCTATTTCCAGTTGCTCAATAAATGTTGGTTTTAAATTATGATAATGAGTGACTGGTGCGCATATAGTCTAGAAGTGAGTTGCAAAAGGTAGGGGCTACGAAAGATAACGACGTACCTATGGCCATATAGCTACAACCAGTTGTAAAAGTACTTGAGACACTGTACCGTATTTTGGCTTAAATGGCCTGTCCATGATCTTGACCTTGTGACCCCCCCTCCACCCCTTACCAAAGTTGCTAGCAATACAAGACCATGCTCAAAACTTGGAGGGACAACTTTGAATGGGAGGGAGGAGGGAGGCCAGTATTATATCTCACAGACCTGTGACTAGCAGCGATTTGTAGCATGAAAAGTTGTTTTTTCGTAAGAGTGCCTTGACCAACATTTTTGCAACTGGTCGTAGCAAACTTATTATCCGCCCATTGCACTTTTAAATAAGAAGGATCTGTGATGAGGATTGATGTGGTTCCTGGCCGATATGGCTGTAGCAAATCTTTAATGTAGGCAGGTGCTAGCCCATTAAGTGCTTATAGAAACATTAGTAATAATTTATAAATAAAAAGGTGATTGACTGGAAGCCAGTGGAGTTGTTTAAACTGGGCGTAATGCGGTCATACTTCCTGCTGCGTGCAATAAGTCGAGTTGCAGAGTTCTGTACATTCGGAAAACGGTCGCTTAAAAATTTAGGGGGACCGTTCAACAAAGAGTTAGAGCTAATAAAGGTGTGAACTAAGGTTTCTGTGTCGGATATAGATAAACAGTCCCTTATCTCAGCTAAACTGCGCAAAAAAAAACCCTGCTGCTATTGTTGTTCGGCTGAATTTGGCTTAAAGGCGAAATAGATTTGTGTATCGTCTGGATAAAAGTAGAAGTCAAGCTTATGGCGTTTGATGATGTCTCAAAGAGGCGAGGTGTACAACAGTTTCAGTTTTCAGTTTTTTTTTTTCAGTTTCTAGTTTCAGCATCGACAGGGGCCAAACGAATACAAAAAGTAAATCTTTAACAGCAGATTTGACTCCATCGGACGATAACAAACTGCTTTTTAAGTGTATTTAGATTATGAGGATCCAAATACACTTAACTACCTTTGTAGGTAGCTCGTTGAGTTCTATATCCTGTCCTTTGCTATAACATGTGTTACAGTCAATATTACTATAAACACAAATTAACGTTACTGTTAGTCTGTTAGAAAAAAAGGAGCATTAGAGACAGCTGTTACTGTGTTGGGTATATTCAATCCCATTCCTGCATTTTTAAGGAGCTAGAAAATGTCTTGCATCACCTAGTTATATACTACGGTAATGATGTATTCTACTCACGATTCTGTGCCATTAGTGTTGGAAATGAATGATCTTTCTGCCATGTACACCTTGGTAATGGAGCTAGAAAACGCCAAAATAGTTGCAATGAACTGCCAGAATATCGGCATCACGTCACCGATGATTTGAAACAAAGCGATCTGAATGGCGCCAATCCCCTCGATTGTTTCCATCACGTGACCAAAGGCTCGAAGTGTAAGGAACATGGTATTAAGGCCATAAAGATAACCAGAAAAAACGAGAGCTCGATTGTCGGTGACAGATTCTGACAAGTTCCACGTGACTACTCTGAGTACAAACGTCACTAAGTAGTTCAGAAGGGCGATGAAATCCAAAATGTTCCATCGATCTCTATAGAGTATATAATGGAACGATTTACCAAGAGACATAGTAGATGCTGAAAGCCTTCATTTTTTTAAAAAATAAGCTTCATCATTATCTATTTAATAAACCTTTAAGAGCGACGGTCAGGAAAACTCGACCAAAATCTTAATTTCGTGGCAAGAGTTCAAAAATCAATTTCTTTCAGTTTTTGTTCATAGATAGCTGTTATGTAGATATGAAACCTAATGTAGATTGTTCCCGCCGAAAGCCTTTTATTTGTGAGAAAAATTAGAAGATCCGTTTTCGATGTCAAAGTCTCAGACTGCCTAATTTTTAACCTGAAATTCACTAACATCAACTTTCCTCGCGTTGGCAAATGAAGCCGCATGGAGAAATTTGGACACTTTCCATGGGCAGAAAAATTATTTTACTTCCACTAGAAGATAATTTCAGGGCAATAGCGAGGCTCGTCGTACTGAAATAATTCAAAATGAGGGATAGGTTTTCACGACAACAAAAACTTAAGTTCGTTACTAATTTTCGACGGCAATATTTAACATGTGGTATAACTCCAAATTCTCTTCATGCTATTTTTAAATCACACATTTAGACATTCATTTAAAACATACCTGGGGATTGGCTTGGGTTATGGAAGGACATCTCTGTAAGACACCATCGAAGTTCAGGAATTTTCATGGTAGGCCGGCGGTAATTGTGTAAACACTTCCAATTTCGAAACGCTCAAAAGTAGATATTTACAGCCTAAAGGCTCGTTTTTCGTACTTCTTGCAGGTTTTTCCATTGCAAAGTTACTTTTTTCAATCAAAGAGTGAGGTAAAAAGGTGAAACTGGGTCAATTTTAGCCATTTTGAAACACTGAACTCTACCCAGTCGGTGACTCTGCGTGACAATCTGTTCCGTGACTCCACGTGACATGACGTACGTTTGAAGAGACGGAGAAGAGACGGAGCCGTTAACATGAAAGTCACGAATCACGGTAGTAACGCAACGCAATTCTTGAAAGAGTAACATTTTTGATGCCGACAGTATTTCGAAGGGGAAAAAAAATCGAACGCGCTAGTATGCTGGTACTCACTTTTTATCGAAAAAATAAGGACCTTAACAATGGTAATTCGCTAAGGATGAATGAACAGGAAGATATTACGCCTTGCTTAATACTTTACGATCGAGGAAACTTGTAGCCGTCAAATAAGTTGTTTTGGTGACGCTTCACTATATTTTCCGGACTTCGATGCTTTCGTTTGGAGGCTGCCTTCAGGAACCCAAGCCAATTCTCCGGTATGTTTTAGATGAATGTCTAAACGTGTGAATAAACGAGCACTGGGGAATTTGGAGCTATACCACATGAAGAATAATGCCGCCGAAAACAACTACTAAATTAAGGTTTTTGTCACTGTAAAAACTTGTTCTTCGTTTTTGAATTATGTCAGTTCAACAAGTTTCGATATTGCTTTGAAAGTATCTTCCAATGAAATAAGAAGGGTTGCTCTAGTGATAGAAAGTGTCTCAATTTCTCCTTGCGACTTTTTTTGCAAACGCGAGAAGAGTTGATGTTAGCAAATTTCGGGCTGAAACTACGGCCATTTTGAGACTCCTACCACGAAAACTGATATTCTTACTTTTCTCGAAAATAAAAAGCTTTTTGCGAGAACAACTTACATTAGATTAGTTATTATATGGCTGATTCTGTTTTCGCAATGCGATTGGTCAATTTGCGGTCCGTAACTTGCTATACGGACCAAAATTTCAAAGAAAATGCTCATTTCGGAGCTCTAAATCTCTTTACCTCTAAAAAAAACGTTGAAATTAAGTTACAAGAAGTCTATCAACCTTGAGGACTTATATTTTGACTTTGTCCTTCAACATTTTAAACTGTGTTTATTTGTGAACGAAGGCGATGAAGAAACTAACTCGTAATCTTATCGAAGAGGATTCTAGTCAGTGTTTGAAAATTTTATCGTAGTACACAGTTAAGAAAACGCAAATCGACTGGCAGAGATTCGAGATGTTTTGCCTAAGAGAAAATGAGTAATTCCTTCGACAAATATGATAACAAACATGCCTGCATGCCGATCATCTTGACGAGCTTCTTTGTCATTTCCAGTGTTTTTCCAAAGACCAACGAAAGAAAGACAGAAGCGCCTTCAAGCCAAACACAACGTCCAGTTTTCAAAAGACTCTAACGTCACATTGGCGAGTGAATACTTTCAGTGCTCTTAGTTTTGACCGAATATACTTAAAAATATGTCTGTAAACCCTGAGGACTGGGATGTTGACTTTGCCTTTCCAGATTTTAACCCAGCTTTGTTTGAACGAGAACGAAGCTGATGTAGAAACTGAATCGTAAACTTTCCGTGAAAGAAAAAATGGTCCGTGTTTGAAAATTTTAACGCAGATCACGCTTAAAGACGAGAATGAACTGGCAGAAATTCGAGAGGTTTTCCCAAAAAAATTAACGAGCCAATCCTTCGACAATGACAACAAACTTACCTTGAAAGGCTTCTTTGCCTTTTGTAGTGTTTTTTTACAAGGACCAACGGAGGAAAGATGGAAACGACTTCGAGAAAGACACAGTGCCCGGTTTCCAAAATACTCCAGCGTTACATTAAAGAGCTAAAACTTACAGCGCTCTTTGTTTTGACAAAATAAACTTTTTCAACATGGCGAATTTGTTTTCACTTTCTCGTAAAACCCTTTGTTGTGTTATATTGTTTTCGTGAGGCAATAAAAACTTTCTCTCTTGACACCTGTCAAATGATTGTCAAATCGCGCGTCCTGCACTTGTTTCCGGTTCCCCAAACTGGAAGAGGCCATATATGGACAAAAATTGAAAGAAATCGATTTTTCAACTCTTGCCTCTCGACGGTCGATATTTCCTAACCGTCGCTCTTAAACTAAGAACCGTGCTTTAATTAAGGCCTTGATTTTTGAATACTTGTATTGTATTTGATGTTTTTATTTAGCATTTTCTATTTCTCTTTGGGAGTTCTAATACAGGGCGAACCTCTCAACTTCCTTTTCAAGATGTTTTTTAATATTATGTTTTTTCCGGTAAATAAGTTTGTTTACATCTTGAATAAAGTTAGTATGTATGTAGGTATGTATGTAAATTATCTTTGTATCGGATGAGATAGAAATGGAAAATTTTCATTGAGATTAGAGCCTTCCTTTTTCATCCACCGCTCTTCTCTTCCCTTCCTCTTTTATTTAAACGAGTAAATTTTTCTCAGAAAGCCATTATTAAATCCTTAAACCGTCTTTTAACTACAAAACAAAAACAATATGCGAAGCATTATGAGTTGATTGTCCAAGCAAATAGTGTTGTAGGATGCTTGTTGGTATTTGGTAGAGAACAAGTTAAAGTTTTATGGAAGCTAAAATTTAATTAGCTTCGACCTTGAATACAACACTTTCCAAAGTTCGGAAAGAAGCTCCGTTAAAGATTTTTTAAACTTCTATATATGTAGTCACAAACAATGAAAAATGTAAAGGAACAACACCACCACTAACAGCAACAACAACTAATAAACAACCACCAGTAAAATGTGGAACTTTGTAGTTCTTGAAAATTTTTAGAAATATTTTAAGCATTTTTCTGTATATTTTAGTGGGGATAACTCCGTCATTTTTCTGTATAGTTTAGTAGGGATAAATCCGTCATTTTTTAACTTTTAAATTTTAACTTTTTATAAATGTTAGATTTTAGGAAATTACAAATTTACCCTGATGATTCTATGTATAAACTTATTTTATATATTTTTATTTTTTTTTCCCATTATTTTAGTGTCCACAATTAGCTTTTATAAGGTAAAGATCTCGACAATTAAATAAAGTTGTAATATGTTATACCTCAAGTATTTTTTGCATCTATGTAGAAAAATGGCTGTTTTCCCTTTTTCTTCTTCTTCTTTACCGCAGAATTGGTACGCTGATCCTCTTAAATTTCTGTTTGATTTTTTTTCGTCCGCCTTTGGTCCCCTTGATTCCTGGACACCTAGGAACTGTCGACTTTCCATCAAGATCCTTCCCAGGAAGAACACCAAAATAGCCCACTCTAGACCGCTGAACGGGATGCTTGATGTCTCAAGACAAAGAGCGAAGTGTAAACCAACCAGTGCCAGGTAGCTGAGCGTGTCTCGAATGAACACGAAGTAGGGAGTTGTAAAGTATTCTTGGTAACGTTCTGCAAACACAGTAAGAACAAGAATAATACATAAAATAAGAATTGTACATACATATAGTAGCAATAACTGTGTTATAGATCCCCTAATGGCCATCGGCAAGGACACAAAAAATATGGACGCTGTTTCCAAATAAATTCCCTCATTTTTCCAGCTTGTTTCGTGCTCCATAAATACAATGCATGTTACTTAAGCATCTACCCGTAGTTCTTAAACCTCCTTTAGGAACCACTAGTAAGAAAAAGTATCGGAATTTTTGGTTGCTGGGACAAGTCTTGAGAGTTTCAGCTATTCTGGCTGTTTAGAAAGCGTCACTCTCTCGTCTCCAATTCTCCGAGATTTCTGGCCTACAGATTTATTTAGGTTGAGTTTGTTATGAAACTTCACGATTGATCTTTACTTAACGGCAATTTCGTCCAAAAGGGCACACCCTCTAGCAAGCTCTTCCTCTGCAAACCGCGAGCGTAAAAAGTCACGTGAGAATGATCACTAGCCCGCTCTCTCGATTCCCAAATGGAGAGCCTGCTTGTTGCTGGCTAGTACGGTAAGTAAATAAGTAATATGTTTGATAACAGGGTTTCCACATTGTGGCTCTTCATCTTTTACTATTAAAAAACTAAAAAATAAAAATATGTATCAATTATTTACAATAAAATATACTAAAAAAAGAATAAATAACGATTAAAAGAGAAAATATTTACAATGATCGCAGTAAAACTTAAAATACAATTAAGATAAGTTGACCTGATCTGTGCCTTACGAATTTAAAATTGCGCGAAGTAAATAGATTAAAACCGTCACACTTTTTCAGATTATCAGTAAGATTATTAGAAAGGGCGGCCGCAGTGTCCTGGAATGTTCTTTTTTCCAGAGGAAGTTGTAATCCGGCTTACAGATGTCCGAAGAGCGCAAACGTCTACATATAGACACTCTCTCAAAGTTTTAATATGAAGGCCACTGCTTAGAGTGAAGTGCTTTAAAATGCACCTTAAGCAAACCAAAATCCCTTCCCTCTTCAGCTGGGAGCCAGTTCTGTTTAAAATTTCTCCAAAATGATTTACGTATCTGCCATAAACAAAAGCGATGCCTTTAGACGTCAAAACTGCCTTCCTTTTTTCCTAAATCATACAAAACAGCTGTGATATCTGAGACGTCGTTATGCTTAAGGGTCTAACCTGACTTGTAACTCTCTGTAAGTATCTGTAGTAACTTCTATTTCAGTCAGATAAATCGATAGAATTACGAAAAAGCCTGCGAACGCATGTGAATTTCCAGTTGGAGAAAAACGGCGACCATCGGAAAGTAAGTCGGACGATTAACAAAAACAAATCTGTCAAAAAAAGTACATTGTGTTAAGAAAAAACTTACCAATCCAATCTATTCCGTGAAGTTCTAATAAATAAAAGAATAAACAGATAAGCAACAATAGACCTGCATTATTGATGCCTATTAAGAGGCTGTCCGCGTAAGAACCGATAAGGCAAATTTCGTTGTATCACGGATTGCCCTGATTTTTTCAGTGGAAGATAACTATCCTATCCCATGAAGAAATATCACATTTATTTGGACCAACTCAATTTTTTCTCTATATTACAGGAAGATTTTCTTGGTCACCTAAAACTGGCCCGTTTGCCTTCAGAAGTGGTGCGATTTTGGTGAATTTTTAGGGCTCTGTCAAACCTACCTTACATAGCCGAATAAGCTGATTATTTTACACACAAATGTTTTAACTCTCATTAACAGTGTCAAAGTTTAATGGTTGCATTCTGTCGAAATTTGGCTGAGATATGATTTTTTTTAAATGACCGTTAATTTGCTCAGCAGGAAAAGTAATTTGCATAACTAGAGCTGAACGGTAATTTCGCGAAAGTGGCACCTGACCCAGACTCAAGTCTGTGATGAATCAGAAGTACTAAGACCAGTCTACTTCTTAATGCAATAAAATTTGTGGGCACTCTTCTCTGCGCGCTGTACAAAGTTCCGTTAATGTTACAAATTCGCCACTTTGACAGCAAAGCTGGAATTGTAACGGTCCGCATTTGATCGACTAATTTCCACAGTTTTAACGTTTCTAGTTATCACCAAATGTCATTAGACCCTTTAAATGTTGGACTTTTGAAAACATGAGGAGAAAACTTGGTAATCGCTTTTTCTTGTTTTTTTTCCTGGTCGACGATCACAACGCGACTTCATTCTCCGTATGCAAATTAGCCTTAGGTGCGTCGTTTCAACAAATTGAATTGACAGGGAACATAACTGCTTATATTTCACATTTTTAAGGGAAAATATCTCTTAGAACTTTCCACGGAAAAACACGAACGATATATGACTTAGAATCCCCTTAGGTCTGTTTCACGAGGAAGAAGTAGTAGAAGAAGATATGTTTACGCGAATTAAAATAATTTAATTACTGTGGCCCGTCACGCATTCCCCGAGAGTGGCCGTGTATCGATCAGTTCTTTTATCTGATTATATTTTTTTTGAAGTGATAGTTATTGATAATCATACAATTTAATCACTGTTAATTCCGATTCTTTACTGGGTGGGAAATACCGTGCTGTTGTATTTATTCATTCTACGACCGTTTTAACTGAGTCAGTATCCCCGGGAGTTACCGTGATAATATGACAGCCCATGGTGTAATACACGACAATTAGCTACAAAGTAGTCACTTGGACACGGCCACTCTTATTCACGAGCACTAGCACAATATTTTCAATTACAGAATCAAAAATTAATATTTTGGAAATAGCTCGCAAACAACTTCAGAGATACCGTGCGACAGCATAGGACCACACCTGCAAAGTACTTTCATTTCCAAGATCCCTTGCTAACCATAGGCTATACAAACATTAGGGTGGTATTAACAGAGCATTGTGTTTATCGCCAATTAACAACATTTCAGTAAAAATGAGGAATGGCTTGCAGAAAAAGGCATAGTTATTGTTTAAGGTCCTTCTCAGTGTTAAATCCCAAAAGTTTTGCCGGCTGTTAATCACACTAAATTAAGGATCCATATGTTCACTCCTGAGCTGTTGGAGAAAAGCACATGCAATCTTGTATGAAAGACGAAAGTTTGTCAACTAGGTCTCCTTTTCTTTCCCTGGATTTGAATGGTATTTTAAAGTGACACAAGATTTTTTTAGCATTACCACGTTGAACTGACTAGGTGTTGTTCTTCCTTTGACATACACATAGGTTGAAAGCTTCAGGTTGAGGGTGTTGTGGTCTCAATTCTTCAGCGATTTCTGCAACAAGCTTTTGCCTTTCGAACTCCTCGTCTTCTTGCAACAGATCTCTATGGTCAAGTTCAACTTGTATACACTTAGGATTATGTTTACGTGTTGACTCAAACGGGCCTAGAGTCCAACATGGGCTGGCAATAGGTGAGCACGGAATTGGAACGGGATTGGGGGGAACTCCCTATGATGGCCTATACGGGGAGGTTCCGCCCGAAAGGAGTATCTTTTTCAGGCTTCAGGTATATGAAAGGGCGGGCATTTCGCTAGATGAAGTATATAAAAGGGCGAGTACGCTTATTGCAGCCTTAGCAGCATCTTTGGTGGTTCTTAAAGAAAAAAGAATTAAGTTTAAGAATTTAAGGAAAAGTAGAAGGACTTATTTTTTCTGAAATTAATATACACGGGAGAAATTTCACCCTCTTAAATACAAATGCTTATTAAAGTAGAGGTGGAATAGTGGGGAGAGAGGGTGCATGGTAAAGTAGGTTAAAAATGGAGAGGTAAGATGAAGCACATTGTTCAAGAGGGTATAAAAAAAAAAAAAAAAAAAAAAAAAAAACAGCAATCTGGAGGCATTTTTGAAGACTTAATGACAACGTTATCAAACAAGAAAAACAGAGAAATCTTGTCCAATAAACCTCTCCGGCAAATGTGTGGACATGGTTGCAGACTGTTCAATCGTGCTCTTCTCGACCCTTCGGCGTCAAGTTTTTTCAAGTTTCTTGCGACAGGAGGAGCAAATCGGCTATATAAAGTTGAACTGAACACTAAGGTACTTTTAAGTATCACTAATTTTTACAAAACCCAGAGACATGTTTTAAACACTGTTTAAGTTCAAAAAAGTTATTTTTATTGCAAGAATGAAATACTTTTCATACACGTGAACGACACCTCGACCACAATCACTCCTAGCCTCGTCCCCAGGACATTCTTCTTAGAAAATGACAGCGGCGGGAAAGCCCTGGGGACGAGGTTGAATCCTGACTCCGTGTAGAAAGTTTTTTTTTCCCCATTTATAATGCTCTTCAACCAATCATCAGAAAACAATCTTTCACAACACACGGATTAACCGGTATGTATAGTATTTTAAAGGTAAGAATTGATTAGGGCAAGATACACGGCTGTCAAAAAAATAGAAATAACAAAAACTATCTTTGCAAGCTCAAATAAACTGGAAACGAGCTTCAGGAAACATCGCAAGATAAAATGTTAAATAGAGAAATTAAAATATCTCTGTACGTTAAGACAATTGTTTGCATGAAGAAGAAAAAAGAATGATGGAACAAAACTTTGACTTATTTCGCTGGCTATCTGGAAATGAACGACGTGTCTTCCTGCCACAGAAGTTATTTTGCCATTATGATCCAGAGTGTGACCGGGGTATTGACAAGACCTCAGGCTCGATTTCCGCCCTCTCCCCGTCCGTTGGGGGCTCGTTTTCCAGAACAGCGGCTTACAATCGAGCCTAACAAGACCTTGGCGCTCGCAAAAACCTGTGCCTAAAGCCGATTGTCATTTTAGTGTTAGCCTGTTTGCACACTGCCCTTCCTCCCTTGGGAGAAGCGGCCCCTTTCCCGATTTTTCCCGAGAGGAGGGGGTCTGTACACAGGCTATTTAGTGTCTGTGCCTTGGGCAGATTGTCATTTCAGTTCCGAATACCCACCAAGCCTCGAATACGTACTCTCGCCAAAATGAGTTCATTTTCATTGTCTTTGCTACACTTGCTACACTTAGACAAGTGACAGCTGGCTAAGTGCGAGGTAATATCATCCATGCACTCTGTGACCAACACATTTTCCTCCACACCCCTTCCGGGACCCACTCTGTCTACGATCTCGCGGAAGAACTGCTTGATGAAATAGCCGAAAAAGCCATTTTTCACAATTGATCTCTTCGGCGATTTCAGTGACATAGTTATATTTAATTTGAAACTGGCACCTGTTGCATTATAATTCAATCAGATTGAAACCAAAACAAGATCATCGTTGGAATTCGGATGTTATACCCTAACAAAAACTGAAAAAATACTCCCTTTTGCGTTTATTCACTGAAAAAAGGAACTATTTTTCCCTTTTCATTCTGCTACCGATAAGCTACCGATAAGCACTTTAAAGATCTTTGAATGAAACTGAAATTTACCGCTAATTTAAGATAGAAAAAGTGTGGGGCCATTTTTTTTTTATCATAGTGCCATGTACAAAGATCTGCCTTCTCCCGATAAGCAAATATCACAATAAAGCTTTCGACGTTAACGCTATTTTTTATACAGGCACGCAAAAAAGAGTGCCCAAACATTTTCGTGTGCTGACAGGAGGAATTACCTTGCAAGTGAACTCTTATTTTTTATTATTATCAATAACTATCATTTAAAAAAAAGATGATAATATTATCGAATTGATCGACACAACGCTATTGTTTTCTAATCGACCACCCGTCTTCAGGAATGCGTGACAGGCCACAGTAATTGAATTATTTTAAGCCGCAAACATGTATCATGATATATTATTCAGCTGCTTCTTCCTCGTTAAAAAAAAAAAAAACAGACCTTAAGGGGATTCTAAGTCATGGTTTGTGTTTTTCTGTGGAAAGGAGAATTATTTTTCCCCTTAGAAATGTGAATGTAACGATTATATTTCCTGTCAATTTGTTGAAACAACGGATCTAAGGCTAATTTGCATACCGAGAACGAAGTCACGTTCATCGTCGACAAGAAAAAGACCCAAGAAAAAGCGATTACTAAGTTTTCTCCACATGTTTTCAAACGTCCAACATTTAAAGGGTCTAATGATATTTAGTGATAACTGGAAACGTTAAAGCTGTGGAAATTAGTCGATCAGATGCGGACCCGTTACAATTCCAGCTTTGCTGTCAAAATGGCGAATTTTGGAACATAAACAGAACTTTGCACGGCACGCAAAGAAGAGTGCCCACAAATTTTATTGCGTTAAGAAGTAGACTGGTCTTAGTACTTCTGATTTATCATAGACTTGAGTCTGGGTCAGGTGCCACTTTTGCGAAATTACCGTTCAACTCTAGTTATGCAAATTACTTTTCCTGCTGAGCAAATTAAAGGTCATTTTCAAAAAATCATATCTCAGCCAACTTTCCACGGAATCCAACCATTAAACATTGAAACTATTAATGAGAGTTAAAACTTTTGTGTGTAAAATAATCAGATTATTCGGCTATGTAAGGTAGGTTTGACAGAGCCCTAAAGTTTCACCAAAATCGCACTACTTCCGACGGCAAACTGACTAGTTTTAGGTGACCGAGAAAATCTTCCTGTAAAATAGAGAAAAAATTGAGTTGGTCCAAATAAATGTGATATTTCTTCATGGGATAGGATAGTCATCTTCCACTGAAAAAATCAGGGCAATCCGTGATAGACCGAAATTTGCCTTATCGGTTCTTACGCGGACAGCCTCTTAATAATTAAATTTAAGGATGAAAATCTCGGGGACTTCAAAAGGCTGCAGAGTTGCATCAGTTTCCGATAAACGCTGTAGTACACTACAAAGTAATTTTTTCATAAACAGTGTGATCTTGGTTTTAGGAAAGTTTCGGTCATTTTTATTGGCTAACGTATACCAGAATAACTGAAAATCAAATACAAAAAAACGTAACGAATGCCCATTAGTCGCTGACTCTAAGACACCCATTTGCGAATTTTTATTTATATTTCATTCAACGAAAAGGATAAATCAATTCAATGTGATCAGCGAGGTTCAAATTAGGAAAGGACATGTCTAGGTAACTTCAAAACGACTAAACACTCATTAGATATGGAGATCGTTTTTAGGATTTACCGAACAGGTGACATGGGGCGCTTTCCATTTAGTCAAAATTTCCGGAATTTCCGGTTCAGCGGTAAATGGAACATGTTTCGTCGGTTCGTCCCACTGGAAAATTCCCAGAAAAAGTGGAAAATCTTAAAAGGTGGTCCCGTTTTCCCGGTTGGAATTTCCGAACGGAATGTCGTGTTCCATTTACGTTTCTCGTAGTTTGTACCAGTTCCAGGTCCACGGTCGGGCACCGCCACGTACCAGGGTTTACGACCAAATGGAACAACTTTTTACCAATCGGAAATTCCACTTTTGCTACCACCGAAATTTCCGGGTTTTTTTCCTAAATGGAAAGCGCCCATGGTGTCCACCAAGATAGTTTCACACGACAGCTGGACATTATAAGGAAGCAAAAATACCACAAGTAACTTCTACACTTCACCAGTCTACAAAAAAAACCTTACTCAATATTTCCCCATTCTGCGCCAAGAAGTATTCGATGTTTGATTATCCCAAATAACAACATACCTTGCAAAATATTTTTCCCTACAATTTCCGGATTTGCGTATTCTCCAAAGCGCTTGACCTTACTCCTGTCATTGTTGATCCTCTCTAATTCCCGGATGTCAATATGCGGACCGATGCCCACTGGCACTATCTTAAATCCCTCTTTTTTGACTTTCTCAATTTCTTTTTCATCGTGTTCTTGTTTATGCCTTAAACAAACTTTATGGTCTGTAAGGAAAACCAGAACCTAGATCGATGTTGGAAACAATAAATTAGTATTTCCAGGCTCAGGTTAGCTGTAGACGTTGGACGCTGCTGACTAAGTCCAGATCCTCTCCTCTATATTGGGGAGGAACGTTGCGTGACGTTACAAAAATAGCTGCAAGGGAGGCTAAAATTTTAACGAATTGAAAGTGGTTTTATTATATGACTAGCCCCGCGAGCAGGCAAAATTGAGCCCATCTTGCCCACTCCGAAGGGTTACCTGTTTCAGTAAAAAGTTCATAAAGACACAAAAGGAATTTGGGCATATCCAGCAATCTTTTAAGCATTAAAGCACATTATTTTGGGATATGCCTTGTAGAGAGCTGCTTAAAATGACAAGTGGCAAAGGGGGAGAAATTAGTCAACTGAAGAATTTACTGGTGACCTCTTGATCTCCTTCTGCTTAAGTCGAAATATCAGACTTGGCTTCATCAAGTAATATGAGCAACGTTCGCTCATGCATCTCCAGTGAATTCAACTTGTCAACCAAAACTCTAAAGGAACCACGCTTTTTCTATATTATTAACACCCACCTTTTCTGAGTTTTTTCGAACAAACTGACTAGATGTCTGTGTTACTTTCTTCAGATCTTCATGAAGACCAGGAGTGTTAACCTTGGTATCTCTTTTTAATTCTATGTCAGTCTCCCCATCTTTCAAACAAATCTCCCTCAGAGAGTCATCTTTTCCGTGAATTAAGATCTGGAACTTCACTTGATGGTTATTCTTGTACTTGTGCAGCAAGTTATATATGGTACCTTTCATCAATTCAAAGGCAACATTTGCGACATCTGAGGTTGCGTTTATAATAAAGGCAAGGTCCATCTCTGTCGAAAGAACAATACTTTTGTAAAAATGTACCGAAGACAGGTTCCTCCATAAATGTATAAATGCGACATTCTTAATCCCTTTTTGGAAAGTTATTACTCAGTAAAACTCGGGCTAGAGCCGAGTGGTCCCAGGCTTACTTTTATACCTTTTCCTGTCTTGCAGTCAAATGTACAAAATTACACCGGATGGATTGTCATGGAATGGTGTTGAACTTGTTTAATTCTTCAGATGAAATTATTATTGCCTCAACAAATCGCATGACAGGTTTGTCTGTTTGAAAACTGTATTTGAATCTATTACATTACTACCTTGTTACTTCGCTCTTTTAGAATATTGACGGTCTGTTAGGAGAAAGACCCAAAATTGATGCAAGATTTAATTGGAGCAGGAAGGGAATTGAAACAGTTTGGATTCACTGTCCTGAAAGGTACTCGATACCAGTGGTATTACAAGGTTTATTGTCTCACTAAAGCGTAGCGTTCTATATTGACTAACAGTTTCTCATTTCTTGGCTACTGTTGATGGTACAAAGCCTTTTGGGCTGCTTTAAGTACAATGCAGGTGCCAGTCCCGTTGCTCCCTAGTGGGCAACCAACCCAGTTTAAGCATTTACGAACTTGAGTTACAACGCTGCTCTCTTGTTTGGTCTACAAGAGGCTCAGAGTTGTTTGTTTGCTTCTTGCTTTTTATCATTACTAGTATTTATCATTATTGATCACTATTTAATCAAGCCGTCAACATCCACGATTAACTTTCCTGATCGTTCTTAACAAGTGAATGTCTTGTTTACCTTTGCTTCGACGTGTAGCTTTGTTAAAGCAATGCTTGATATAAAAGATAGTAAACAAGAATGGGAACATGAAAATGTCAAATAAACACCAAATGTTGAGAAAAAGCCATTTCCACCGTTCAACCTCCAGCCAGGAAGATCTCTTCAGTTTACCAAATGTCCCGAACCACTTTTTCGTCATCAAGTTGTTCATTACTGGATGAGTGAAAAACTGCAATAAAAAAGTGCAAGTTGACTTGGAAAACTATTCTACTCCAGAATTATCTCAAAAAAGCATTCGCAGTTTCCGTGATAGCCCTTCACTGCCATTTACATTTAAATACTAAGTTATAGAGATAAGAAAATTAAATCACCTTCTTTTGCTTCATTTCAATGCCCGCTTCTAAAAGATAATCCAAAGAATCCCCAAAAGCGTGACGCGCCTCTGTGTTGGTCTTCAAAGGGTCAAGTAAACAACTGGTAAACTCGCCCACTGAGTTCGCTAACTTGGTAAAATCTTCTTCACCAGATCCTTTCCTCCTTGCTAAGCGGTGGAGCTTAAAATTCACCTGTACGATTAATGGCGAGAAAGGCTTTAAATTTGTTTGTCATGTTTTTTCGGTGAAAGAACCTTACACAAAAGCATATAAAGTAAACACAATCCGATCGGTATTGACAAAAAAAAGACTTTGAGAGAAATTCATGCCCACCATTCAACTTACAGTCTAGAGTCAGACGAACTCGGTCGATCTTATTTCACCGAATGTTCCCAATTCTTATGGCTGCCAGCTCCTTCCTCGTAATACAAAGCCCATTTCTTCCCCCATTCCTTGAAAAAAGTTCGAAAAGTGTTTCGAATCCGGTTATACTGATTATATGCTAATTATTTTGATTATATCGTTGATTATTGATTATGTGTTATATAACCGTTTTTTTATATTTCATACCACTTGTTAACCGAAACTGAGGTCAATACATTGAGGCCGATATCCGAAATTTCCCTGTGATGACCGAATGGACGACTAGGTTAATACGTTATTATATGGCCATTGAGCTCTATTGTAAAACAACACAACACAACACACACTAGCTCTCGCAGTGGTCCTGTTCGCCGCTCAGTACTGTGTAGAAGTATCAGTATGCTAGGTAGGGTAAATATTTTTCTTTCAGTTACTGAAAAATTAGTTGTATGTTAATTGTCGGTATTTTTGGTTGTTTTTGACCATTGCGCTCGTAGCTTTTACTCATGAACTCAAAAGAGCCGTCACGCCGAGATGCCCGGTCATTACAAGATAACCTTGTCCGCTCCGACCGGAGTGCGCGTACTATTATTGTAGCCATCTATTAAATGTTGTGATAACCGGGATGTGTTGTTATATGTTGTATATCCGTCTTTTAAGGCGCTTCCCTATGGTGGCCCACAACTGTCACGGCAAAACCAAAAACCTCACGGCAAAAACAAAATACCTCACGTCAAAACCAAAAACCTCACGGCAAAAACAAATTACCTCACGGCAAAACCAAAAACCTCAGGGCAAAACCAAATACTTCACAGCAAAAACAAAATAGGTTTGGTTTTACCGTGAGTATTTGCTTTTGCCGTGAGATATTTGGTTTTTGCTGTGAAGTATTTGGTTTTGCCGTGAGCTACTTGGTTTTGTCGTGAGGTATTTTGTTTGTGCCGTGAGGTTTTTGGTTTTGCCGTGAGGTTTTGTTTTTGCCGTGAGGTATTTTGTTTTTGCCGTAACAGTTGTGGGCCACCGTAGCTTCCTTTTTGTCATCTTCATTTGGCATTTAGTGTTCGAAGACTACGATTAATACTGCCGCGTTCAATAGACTCTTCCAGCCTAAGGCACGAATTTTCCTTTTGTCATAATTATTCTTAAATATGCTTAGAATATGTATCCAAAATTTAAACTTGTCAAGAATCTTGCAAAGATTATTTTCCGCCTTCAAAAGACGCGAATTCTCTGATTCTCTGATTTGCAAGAATGTAGAATGATTTTCAAGGTGGCAGCAAATAAGAAGGATTGTCATTGTCCACACCCCCCGATCATCTTCAACTTTAACTGACGTCACATGATGTCATTTGCCTTTCTTGACTCGTTCCCAGTCTCTGGGACATTTCTGAAGGTGAAAAGGTAATTTTTGGAGACACATTTCTAAAGTTCAGAATTGTTAATTAAACTTATCTAAGGACAAAAATCAAAGGTTTTCCTACATTATTCTCCCTTAAGTGAAGTCATAAAAAGACAACTAAAAAAAGGATATATTGGGAAGAATTAACGCGTTCACAACAGGGTCAGGTGTCAAACTTACCTCCATTGCCATAAGTAAAGCGTTGGTGTTACATTTTGTAAGAGCCCGCGGTGTTATTTTGTCAGTGATCTCATCAAATTTGCCTTTCTCTAAAGAACTTCTCAGTGAGTCTTCAAATTCTATTGACAAAACAGTAAGAGATGTACAAAGCAAATGGCTGTCATAAATCCACTCCCTCTCTCTGTCTGAAACTGTTCGTGGAGGCGAGAAAGTGATGAGGGAAGAAAGATTCGTATATTTCGTCATAAGATGTTGAAAAGCGATTCTATATACAAATCAGTTTGTCTCAAATTCATCAACGAAAAAGAGCAAAACGTTTTTATGTTTTCAATTTGCTGTCAAATATTATATTGCATAAACCTATATGCTTCATGCATGTGCTCCCTTGTTCCTGTTTTGTTGTTGGATGGTACTTTTGCTTCAAAACATCCCCTGAACATCTAATACTGTAAAATTAATCAATATTAGCAAGTACTACAGCATAGATAATAAGGTCTGGATTTTGATATTTTCATCTTCGTTACCGATACTGTGACCCTGCACTCCCCTAATCCGATTTCTTTTTCAGAGGTCTGAGGTAAATACGGTATACTTATCGCTAAAGATCAATTCAAAAATACTTACTGGTACTTTCTGTACTCTGATCTTCTTTGTTTCCCCCCAAATCATCAGTTTCTTTGTTTCTTTCCTCTAGATTTTCCATCTCCATCTCTTCACCTCTCCTGATTGTTACTGGGCTGCCCGGTGTAGCCATACATGTATTTCCTTCCTTGCGTCGACTAAATGACAAAGGGTTGCACAACAGTAACCAAATATCGTTAACTGTTTCAAATATATAGATTTAGTAAAGGGAAGCGGCCATTAATAATCTTTTAATTACTTAAAACGAAAAAAATGAAAACGAATACGCTTCAACCTATGCATATCCAGAAAATGATACTTAGCTGATTTTAAAACAAAAAGAAAAAAAATTATAAATCAAGCAATCACATTTTAATGTGAATAATAAATAAAATAAAATAAATAATAATAAAATGAATGAATGAATCAATTAATTAATTAAAATTAATTAATTGATTGATTGATTCATTTTATTTTGCATTAACCAAAAATACAACAAAAGTATACAGAAATACATTAAAGATAATACACAATATTCCAACTAAATTATTTACAAGATCAAATGTGGTAAAGGCATGGAAGCCTATATAGAAGCCGGGGGCTTATAAACTATAGGCTTCCTGGAACTATAGGGTAAACCATACAAGTTAAGGGTACTGAATGAAAATTTGGATTCATTTTTAAAAAATAAATAAATAAATAAAGAAGAGAAAAAAGAAAAAGAAAAGGTGTGTAGCTCAGCAAAGAGTCAATTTTATTTTTTAATAACTAAGAAAGAAGAAATTTTTGGAGTCTTTTGCCAAACAAACTGATACTTTCACTGTTTTGAATTTCCCGACTTAGCGAGTTGAAAAATGTTAGACCTTGAAACCGAATTGAGAATTTTCGAAAATTAGTTCGACAATGAGGTATATAGAAAAGGCTGGAATTTCTTGTATTATAAGAATGTATCTGGCTTGCAAGAGTAAACATATCACGAATATAATTAGGAAGTAAGCCTCTTTTAAAAAGATACATAAATTTACCTATTCGGTATAAATAAATGTCTGAGAATTTTAAAATCTCCTGCTCCTTAAAAAGAACACCGGTATGAGCATCAAAAGAAACTTTAGGAGCGACGGCCAGGAAAAATCGACCAATAGGGACCTTTAGCATCAGGTTTTTCATGGGAAACGGCAAACCGCAAACCTCAAAATGTCACGTGACCACGGCCTTGCGGTCACGTTTCCAGTTTGCAGTTCACGTTTGAACCGCAGGAAGGGCTTCCAGCGGTAAGTGATTTACGGCAAGGTTTTTTGCCACAAAAAATTATACAGCCTCGCGTTTAAAGGTATGAACTAGCTTTTTATATCCATTTGCGATGTGTTTGTTGGGTTTTTGATGTCGAATGAATGAATTATTGCTGATTTTTGGGCGATTAAAGTGATGCACTTTGACTTGATGAAAACAACATGGCGGCGCTAAACAATGAAAGCGTAGTTCAAATCAATTTTATATTCCTTTTTCCCGTACTAACAAAGGAAAGTATTCTGTTCCAATCTAGAGTTAAATTTTTTTTCTTTCTTGTCACTGAATTCATAACTTAACTCAGTCTCTGTTTGGTTCCTATTTTTAACGTATCACTCCGCGAACATCATTTTATTTTGCTTATTTCTTTGCAGTTCTTTGAGACTGGGGAGCCCAGGCTTCATAAAACCTTCTGGTTTCTTCTGGGCTCCCTTGCAACCTTACAATTCCTATATGTATTCTTTTATTGTATTGTATTTTGGCTAAATAAAAATGAACTGAACTGAACACCTTGTTAAAGTTTGAAATCTCGGCAACGCGAAACTGCAAACCCGTAACTGCCGTATGCGGTTTGCGGTTTACCTGATGCTAAAGGTCTCTAATATCTTAATTTCGTGGCAAGAGTCGAAAAATCAATTTCTTTCATTTTTTGGTTCATAGATAGCTTTTAGGTAGATAAGAAACCTAACGTAGATTGTTCCTGTCAAAAGCCTTTTTATTTGTGAGAAAAATTAGAAGATTGGTTTTGGATGTCGGAGTCTCAGACTGCCCTAATTTTTAACCTGAAATTCGCTAACATCAACTTTCCTCGCGTTCGCAAACGAGGCCGTATGGAGAAATTTGGACACTTTCCATGAACAGAAAAATTCTTTTTCTTCCAGCAGAAACTCATAAGGGGTTGAAACGTGTAACTCTCATATGTTTGCTTTGTCCGATGCTCGTGATTATTCATTTTCGAAAGTACCATATTTGGAACCAGAAGAAGAGATAACTGACCAATCAAACTTCGTAAACAACGTGATGTAATTTTACTTCAGGTTCCCGAGCCCGCTTAAAAAAATGGCCCACAAACGGGGCAAAAAACTCCCGAAAGCCGAGAAAGCCTTCAAAGGTTGAGACCAGGAATCTTACCGAAACGCTGAGCAGGATATTATTGCCTTCCACCCGGGCCAAACGTAATATTATGAAACCCATTGACGTCCTCACAACTACTTGAAGTTGTCACTTCAAAAAACGATGCCTCGTCGACCCTCTGCACGGTAAACTTATGCTATAAATGGGCTTTTAAAATTCTTATATTAAAAGTCTAGAATAAACAGTAAAAAATATTTTCAAGTAAAATTCATTAGCTGCG